CGCCGGCACGCCGGGTCAAAAGTGTGGCCACCGCCGGACGGAGAAAATGGGCGCCATTTTGAGATGGGCCAAGCGGCGCGCGTTTAAATGGGAGCCCAAAATACGGACTTTTGGACTCGTATTTCGTGGGTTAATATTGCTCAAAAAAATCGGGGAAAATTCCTGTGAACTCTGTGCACTCTCTAGTTTCCAAAAATGCAAGAATTACGAATTGCTGAACAAGCTCATTGTTAAGAATAAGTTGTGCGTGGCGACTTCAGTTCATTACATACTCAACTTACTGAAGGCGTTTATGTGCACAAGTAGCGCAATCTGTTGGAGAACGACCGAAGTGGGGGTTGAGCGATTCATTCAATCTCACTTCTGTTGTTCTCTAATAGGGTGCTCCTTTTTCGCACATAAAACGCCTTCAGAGAGTCAAGTATGTAATGAGCTAAGATCAGCACGCACATCATATGCGGAACAACAATTGCTGCGGACACAGCTGAGGGCGAATTAAAACCACCATATAATACACGTTGGAAAACATTTTGGTTCTTTAATTAATATTGTTACCAATAGAAAGTTGTATTTTAAGGTCTTTTTATGGGGGATTCTCGAAAAACTTTTCACGATTAACTAAGTTTAAATGCAAAATAAAACTGCAGGGACAGTTGCGGCAACATTTTGGGATCACAAGACACATTTTTGACATCCTAGATGCTTAAACAGTATAATATTATTTCAATGCACGTTTACGCCGCTAACTCCGCGGAGGTCTCGAAGGGGCCTCCGCGGCGAATTTTTTTCGAGTCATCGTTTTTTTCCTATAATGTTGTAATTTTCTTATACTTTTCAATCACTAATAAAAGGCCCCGAATTCCTTGAAAATTTGTCTCTAAGAGACATGGAAGGTCGCCAAAAGCATTTGTGATGAAGGGACCCCCAATGAATCTTGAGAATGGGTTATTTTGAAGTTCAAGTACTGCAGAATTTAACTCCAATAAGGCCTACGTGTTTAAAAAGTGAAATTTTCAAAATTTACCGGGAGAGGGCCCCCAGACCTTCTTAGAGGGGCCCCCGGACGACAGGGGGGGCTCTTACATTTAGGTCTCCTCCTAACTTTTCGACTACCAGTCCGCACCTGTGTGCCGCTACTGCAATTTTGACCGTTAAGGCCGTAGTTATTAAGGGCGCTAAAGCCAGGATTGATTTTCGCAAACAGATAATTTTTGCAAAATAATTAAAAATTAAGAAGCAGGAGTAATTTAACTAAATAATAAACGAAACGCAAATCTACAGTATAATGCAAAAAAAATTGGAAAATCTCGTCATGAAAATACAGAAGATTCAAAAACGCCTTTAATTGAGGCGTGATACCTCACGCGTTCCGGAGAGTTCAAATAGTTGTATCCCTGCGCCTTAGCAAGGCGATGGAAGTTCAATATCGCAGTAGCGTCCCCGCGTTGTTTTTCGGTTTTCCTGTGCCGCTACTGTAGTTTCGACCGTTAAGGCCGGAGTTTAAGGGCGTTAAAGCCAGGGTTGTATTTCGCAAGTGGATAGTTTTTGCAGAATAATTAAAAAATGAGGAGCAGGAGTAATTTAACTAAATAATAAAAGGAACTCACATCTACAATATAATGCGAAAAAATTTGGGAAATCTTGTCATGAAAATTAAGAAGTTTCGCAAACGCCTTCAATTGAGGCGTGATACCTCACGCGTTCCGGAGAGTTCAAATAGTTGTATCCCTGCGCCTTAGCAAGGCGACGGAAGTTTAATATTGAAGTAGCGTCCCCGCTTGGTTTTTCGGCTTTTCTGTGCCGAGGAAGTCTGCATGCAACGAGAGGATATGTATTCGATCAACATGAATCGAAATTAAGATTGAAACTGTACAAGTTTCATTAGTTTTTGACTAGATAGGGTCAAAATAAATTTATATTTACTCACCTTTATAAAAATGCGACATATTCTGGCAAAGTATTGGTTTAAATAATTTAATAAAGGTTAGACACCATACTTTATGGTTTCCCAGCAAGCATACAGTTCACTTTGACACAGCGTAATGGAAAACCTCACTAAATTTCTAAAAAAAGGGAGTTTCTTAATACCAACCCCACCACCGTAGGTACACAATATCAGCCCTCAATGATATTCTCGTCACCATAGCAACCAGATATAATAGACTGTGGCTGACTAACGATGCCAGCTTCGCTTCGCATCGGGAGTATTTACGGGAACAAAAATCAATTTTTCAAAAAAAGTTTTAGATTTCAAATGGAATTGCCGATGAAATTTCAAAGTTTTGATCGATCAAATCAATTTAAAAAAAAAAAAAAAAAAAAAAAAAAAAAAAAAAAAAAAAATTGAATTTCGATCGGAATTGTGCTGAAATTTCAAAGATTTATTTTCATGAAAAAATCGAACTCCCAATCAGTCGCTCACGTGTCCATTTCACGTCGCACAAAATTGGATTCCCCGCTTTTTCAAATTTGGCGGTTAAATTATCTTTCTACTCAACGTTGCCGCTCAACTGTTTTTTGGTGAGCGGTCGAATTTAAATTTGAGGTTAGATTAAATTTTTGGAAGTTCTCGCGGATTGCAAGTGGGCGTCGAAAGTTCCTTTGAATTTGCAATAATGGGCGAACTTTAATTTATTATCTTTCAAGTTTGCCATGATTTATTGAAGTTTTCTTTCCCGTTACACTCTATACATATTTTATCACCTTTCTGTGAATCTTCTCTTCGGAAAGAATGGAGGCGTATGACGTGATAGCAAACCAACCGGTCGTTATCGATAACGTAAGTTTTCTTTCACGTTCTCCTAGCCAGTTCAATTTTTTAACACTGAAAATTTTCATGTATTTCGCGAAATCAGGGGAGGTTTCTTCCACTAATTGCCCCCAAAGTCCGAGATGAAAGTGGATGAACTCATAACCGATGTTGTGATCAACTGTGATAACACTATGAAAATATTGAAATCAACATGCTTTTTAACTTCGTCTATTTACTTCGTCTCCCTATTTTTCTGCACTATTGGTCCGGCTACCTTGCAGGAAAATTGTCCACTCTCTGGGATTTGGTAGCATTGAGAGAATTTCATAATTAGTCACTGCGTAGTTACCTACTTAGTAAGCTTTCATCGTTCATTTGGATGGAACTGAGAATTTGCAAAAGTTCTGGTCATCTCCATATTATGCAAGCCTTATTAGTAAAATCTACTAGGGAGCTTCCTTGCCGCGCTTGTTAGAGATTGGATTCCTCCCAACTACATGATGCTCAAAATCTACTCTTCTTTAAACAATAAAACTGAACAGAAGCCCTAGCATGTGTTCAGTACGTTGAGAAATAAGTCAAGTCCACTCTGATACCACTTATCAGGACTGTTTTATGAATTTATGACTCAAATTATGAAGTGGTGCTGATTTTAGAGTAATCAAAAGAAACTAGATTTCATAAATTTACAATGTAAGAGACTTCCCGAGACCCATTTTTCAGGAAGGAAAATATAGTTAATGGCTCTAATAAATGCTGTCTGTTTTATTCCTGCAATACTGAAATTTTTGTTACTAAATCTCAGAGATCCCATTAATCACTCCTGTATTTTCGTTTTTCAGGGCTCTGGAGTAATCAAAGCTGGTTTTGCTGGTGACCAAGTACCCAAGTGTTGTTTTCCAAACTAGTAAGTTATTTTAATGTTTCTACTTACATGCCTTATTTTCTGTTATTCTGGGGGTATCATGTAGAAAAAAGATTTACCTTTATGTGGTTAATCTAAATTTACGGTGAAATCAGGGCTTTTTATATCCGTAGAATGGAATGGATTGGGATCTTTGCGGTTTGGGCCGGTTCGACCAACCTAACCGTGGCCTCAACGAACCTTGGAAGAGCGGTCCAAGCGTTCAACTGGAACGGATGTAACGCGCCAGTGGAACAGGATAAAAAAGTGATGCGTTCTGTAGCGATCCAGTTTGGTTAAAAAAAAAAGCCCTACTGTGAAATCATGTTTTTTGGCGTAATTCTTGTCTTGTTTAACTTCTTGAAGCATAACTACTCATCATGTCTAATTAAATTTCAAATTGTGGATACGGCATCATTTACGTAAGTATGGAAATTTAAAATATGGAACTTTTTCACTAGTACATCATGTCATTGTGAAACGGCAGACGCCATTCAGGCCCGATTCCTTGGTCCATCACAATTATGAGTTTCACTAATGATGGGTTGGAGCTGGAAACGTGTCTCTTTACCTGTGATGTGATTTGCAAGTGAGTCCTCTGCAATTTGAAATTTTCACACTTAATTTCTCTTGTACAGTTTTTTGCTCAGTCTATCTATTGCTTTATCTATCTAATTACTGTTGAAAAGTATATCTTTGCAGCAAGTATGGCTTACATCTTGTTACCAACGATGTTGAAAGCATTGGGAATACTCTCTGTTTCAGTGTGGGAAGACCAAAGCATGTGCGTGTTATGGCTGGTGCCCTCGAAGGTGAAGAATTTGTCGGTCCCAAAGCTGAGGAGCATCGCGGATTGCTGAGCATCAAATATCCCATGGAGCATGGTGTTGTAACTGACTGGAATGACATGGAGAAAATCTGGCAGTACATCTATGGCAAAGACCAACTTCAGACATTCTCAGAAGAGCATCCCGTTTTATTAACGGAAGCCCCATTGAACCCCCGCCGCAACAGAGAAAAGGCTGCTGAAATATTTTTTGAAACCTTTAACGTGCCTGCACTATATGTTTCAATGCAGGCTGTTTTGAGCTTGTAAGCACTTATTTTATATAATTTTTCCTCATATTTTCAACTCAGATTTTCAATTTGCCATAGAAGCCATTATATTTCAAAATATTTCCAATTCAAGATCTGACTCCATTCACATAAAAGCATTTTCTACCCGCTATGCCTTGCAGTACAAGCAACCAGTAGGGCAACAGAACACTCTTGATTTATGTAAAGAGCAATATCCTTACCATTATCTCCCTGTACCTAATTTATTTTTCGGAAGATCATAAAATCTGCCAACTGCATGAGCGCTTTTACACATTTTAAAAGCTCCTTTCACTTTGATGCTGTTGTTAGTCACATCTAATAATATTTTTAATTTTATCAGGTATGCAACTGGAAGGATGACAGGAGTTGTTTTAGATGCAGGAGATGGAGTTACCCATGCGGTGCCAATCTACGAAGGCTTTGGAATGCCTCACAGCATCATGAGAGTGGACACAGCTGGCCGTGATGTCACTCGTTATTTAAGGTAACATAAATTCATTTCTCCTTTTCAACCCTTTTACATTTGAATTTTTAGGTACTTTTCTAGAATAAAATACTTGCTGCTAAGTAATAGAATGATTTAGCTGCTACCTCATTTTTTTTTTTTTACTCTTGAACAGCTTAGCATTAAAGAAAAAATAAAAAAGACCATCCTCTTCTAGATTAAGAGAGGATCCTAATCTCCTAATAAGAGACCATCAAAGACACTGAAAATAATCAACAATTCTAAGAATCCTGTATCAATGGCCCCCTAGACACATTGAAAATGAAGCATTACAACAAGTTCTTGTTCTCATCGCAATTTTTTGCAGGACCTGATGAACAAATTAAATAATTTCCAAAAACCGATCACAGTAATGTCAGCAAACCTGCTGTACTTCCTTTTTTTTTTTTTTTTGCTGTACTTCCTGCTTATCAAAAAAACAAACATTTACAAAATAATAACAGTTAAATGCTCATCAGGACTCATAACCTTCCATCTAATCTAGTGGGGAAAAGAGTGAGTATTCTACTGTACTGTCACCTGGTGGAAAGTTTTATAATGGGTCAGTAGCGTTTCTTGTTTTTTTTTTAAAAAAAATTCATTTTCTGAAAGTTCTGAGTAAGTAAAGCTCCCAGTAGTGTTTTTCAACTTTATTTTATTCAGACTTTTATATCCCTTTTAGAAGTGCCTTTTTTAAACTTATCAACAGGTTTTTTGGTGTTTTCATGAAATTCACGTTAAGAATACCAGTCAGATTTTTTGCAGAAATGTCGTGCCACTAACCTATTGGTTTGATATGAAAGTTGGGAGAATCCCATATTTGTATGCACAAGGTCTCCTCTTTTAACATGATCCAGGCGCTGAAGGCACATTACTCACTTTACATAACTTTCTTACTAATATTTAATGCTATTCTGTCTCAGGTTACTGCTCAGGAAAGAGGGTATTTGCTTTAGGACAACAGCTGAATTTGAAATAGTCAGGACAATCAAAGAGAAGGCCTGCTACTTATCTCGTAATATCTCCAAGGAAGAAAGCAATCAAGGACAGAAAGGCAAAGGATATCAATATATTCTCCCCGATGGAAGCACATTAGAAGTAAGCATTCTTTAGTCCTTTGTTTGAGGAGGTACTTTTTCAACATCGCACAGGACTTCTTTTTAAATTAATTTTTTACTTTCCGGTCACCAGGTCAAATTAAGGTAAAAAGTGCCCTTTAAATTCCCCAGCTGTTTCCAAGGGTTTTATTCTTGAACTCTTTCATTGAATCAACACAATAACCGTGTTTTAAAATTGCGCAACCTTATCTTTTTGTAAAAATGCCCAGTATGCCAAATAGTTCTTGAGTTTCTAAAAAAAATTGTTAATTTTAAAGAAAAACGATAGGGTAAATTTTATTACTTTAGCATAACGTAGCTTTGCCTTCACTTTTCCCCATCCCAGTTTTTCAGGTACCTTCACATTTCTCCCTGCGACCAGCCGGTTGAGCACTTTTTGCATCCCCAAGGTTCTCTATAACCTACTAGAGTCCCTTTCTACTGAAAATTAAGACACGAGGATTCCATCTTTGATTGGTTCCTCTATTTTAGACCTCCACAGTGACACAAAGGGGCATAAGTAGTATATTTTCACCATTTGCAAAGATTATATACTTGAATGGACTGAGCAAGAAGGGTACATAGGAGAAGTAACGGAATAACAGAAGGAGTTTGAGGATGAGTTGATTAAAAATTACGCATGACGTTCAGGTTCAGACTGTAGAATATTTTTCCCTGTTCATGACATCCATAAGCGGGCTTGGCTTGTCTTAGCTCAACTGGAAAATAAGCAGAGTGTTTGCATGGAAAGCATATACTTAGCACATCTGCATATATTTTACACAGACTGGTAATTTATTTTGCTTTTACCTAATTTTTGTATTTATTCTTTTTGTAGATTGGACAGGCTCGTTACAAAGCTCCAGAAGTATTATTCCGACCAGATCTAATAGGAGAAGAGTATGAAGGACTTCATGAAGTCTTGTTGCTGGCTATCCAGAAATCAGATATGGACCTTCGTAGAGTATTGTACCAGAATATTGTTCTCTCTGGTGGCTCAACGCTTTTTAAGGTAAACACGACTCCTTGATATTCTCTATTCTTTGATGAAAAGTGTTGTGGGCTTAGTAATTGACATTTTTTTATTTTCAAAAGTAATGATTAACCTAAAGGCAAGAGGACAGAAAGATGCTTTTCTAACAGCTCGTGAAGTCTCAAATCAAGTTGAAAATTGAGACATTATAGATTTAAGTATGCGAAGAAGAAATTGCAGTGCATTGACAGTCGTTGAATTCAAACTTCTAAAGGACAAAAATTGTGATCAAGAACTATAATCATTTCATTTGAAAAGTATGGTTAATAAGAATCAGCAATTGGTTTTTTCTATGATAACAAAAATTATTCGGATTTCACGGTTTTTATTTGTTCAGTAATTCAGTATGCTAATGAACTGTATTCATTTCCTCCTCAAACGTATATTTTATAAATTTTCAAGAAGTATATCTTGATTATTTTCAATCATCGACTGAAAAAGCATCTTCATAAATTCTGTCCAACTGCATCAATCATCAACTATCATCTACATATTATATCCTCAGAAGAATGTTTGAGACTGAATTTGGCTCTTTGCTAAATTTATTTGACAAGGTTACAATGCACAATAATATACAGTTAAGGACTTTACTGAGTACTTTGATACCTTGCGGCTGTTGATAACATCCATCCACTTTTGAATTTAACTCCAAAAATATGTCTAAAATTTTGTATGTGATTATAATCACCGCCAGGAAGGGAAAAAGAATGTTGTGGCTGAACTATAGCTGGCAGGAATTTAGAATTGCTGAAACAGAAGTTCAGGGGCATGGCATGCTTTGCGATATATCGTTTGATCTGTCATGTTACATTATGGAGAAGGATCGATATACAGGGTGTTCGCAGCAAACACCTTAATAATCGATTCTTTACCATATTTTCAAATAGGGAAATATAGATAATCGACCATTCATGCCTCGCCACTGCAGAAGTTGTCAATATGTTATGAAATGAAGAAAATTTACTTTTTTTTTTGTAATTTCAAGTTATTTTGCTAGCTCTCCTTTAGGCGCAAGGGAGGCAGCTCTGTTTATCTCATTATTCTAATGGTCAACTGTATTGTCTTATTTAATTTTATTGTACCTCTGTTCCGCAGGGTTTTGGAGATAGATTACTTGCAGAAATTAAAAAATTGTCTTCCAAGGATACCAAAATTAGAGTAAGTTTCATACTAATTTTGCTTTTTATCTTTTCTGTATATGAATATCATTGATGTTTGTCTGGCCATCAGTGTGTCGACCATGAAACTGCAAAAATGCGTATCTCGGTTGCAGTATTTCAAAGAACTCAATCCTATCTTTTTTTTTCAAAAGAATAACAAACCAACATCATACCCTGTTTTGACAGAATATTCTTCACATAGAGAAGAAAAATCTGAGAAATTTTTAAGAAATGATGCTCAGTAGTTTTCTATGTAAAAAATAAAGTACGACAGGAAGTCTGCAACGCTTCTAACTAAGATATGCGTTTCTGCAATTTCACCATTGATATTTATCCCAAGCACCCTTCTACTGAAAATGAGGATTTTTTTTTTCGAAGACAAAAATTGTAGGACCCCAGACACTTTTCCATGAATTGTTGAACTATCTAATTTAGAGGAACATGGTAAGATATCAAAACATTAGACCGCCTATTTTCATATAAAAGAACAAGAGATTAAACCCTCCAAAATTTAGGTACTTATTTAGGTTACTTGAAACACCTTGCACATTTTTGGATTGTACAAGGCTCAAGACCTTTTTTTAATTTTGACTGTTGTGCAAATTGTGCAAGAAATCATGGGATACTAAAGATTTAAGTAACTGTGAATGTATGTATTTATTTTGTTAAATTAGATTGTCGTGGTTCTGAAACAGAAAAGCAAAGCCTCTAATTTTTTTAGCAACCCATCTGAATTTAATTTTAAGATTTTTTAAACTTAAACATCTCTATAGCAGCCTCCAAAGGATTTTTTTCTCTTTCTTTGCAAATAGAAATTGAATTCAGAAGTTAATTATAGAAGCCAATCATTTTTAGCCCTAAATTTTCTTGGTAATGATCTTATGTCATCAATGCAGCTCCCTGATAATATTTTTTTACTTCTCTTTTTTTAGATATCGGCACCGCAAGAAAGACTGTATTCCACGTGGATTGGTGGCTCTATTTTAGCATCTCTAGATACGTTCAAGAAAATGTGGGTTTCAAAGCAAGAGTTCCATGACGGTGGCCTTCGAGAATTCCACAGGAAGACATTCTGAAAAACTAGAATATATTTTGTTGTGATGGAAAAAGTGTTCTTTCATCATTTGATTTATTTATTTATTTTATATTTTTTCACTGAATGCATTGATTCTATTCTAGCAAATAATTTTTTTTCCTCTTATATATTCCTTAGGCAAAAGCTATAAATTTTTACCAAGTGGCTGATTGTTCTTTAAAAATCTTTTTATAAAGTCTCAAAAGCAGGAAAACACTTCTAAGATCTGAGATTTTTGACAAATCGTTCAGCATCATGGCCATTCTTGGCTTCATCTTGAAGGTGAAACTGCATGGACCTATTTTGATGGCTCAAGTCCGAAACCATGTATCTTCATCGCAGTTTTTCAAAATCTTTGCTCCTATTTAATTTTTTTGAAAAGAAACAAGTCAACTATACAGCTGGAAATGTTTACAAAATATTCTGCTAATAGAGAAAAAAAATAAAAAAAGTTTTCAAGAAATTAAGTTCACTTGTTTTTCCATTGAAAAAATAAAGTATGACAGGAAGTCTTCAACAATGCAAACAGAGATTCAGGGATTCGCACTTTAGTAATCAGTATTGGTTTTTGGCGTTGCAGACTTCCTGTCATACTTTATTTTTTAAATGAAAAACTATTCAACGTCGTTTCTTGAAAACTTTAGTGATTCTACTTCACTGTGTGAAGAATATTCTGGGAAAATTTCAAGCCATGATTTGGTCTCTTTCTAAATATTCAAGCAGAGATTTGGAAACACTGTTACCGAAATACACGTTTCTGCATTTTCTCCATCGATATTTGGTGGTAGGATGACATTGATCAATCGCCAAGTTGGAAGAGGATGTAACTGCTAAGTATCGAGTTTTCAGAGAACAACAAGTAATTAACAGTGTTTCTCTCTCAATTCTAAACATTTTCAACCAAAGAAAGGATTATCTTTAAAATATTGATCAATTTTTCTGATCGAAATAATGAAAAATTAATGAAGAAACACAGTTCTCACAGTTTTCTGGAAACTTTAATTGGCAGTCCAAGAGAATAGTTTAATATAGAATGCTGAATTTTTGGAACCCAAATATATATCTCCTAGTCCCCCAACCGTACCAACTTTAACAAGGAAATCATGCCTGTATGAATGAATATTGTGATTGTGGCTTTTGATCTATGTACCTGTGTACGTTTAAGTTTCTTAAATCTCTCGAGCTGCTTATTTCATTTACCATAAAAAAATACTCATTTGGTCTCTAAATATTTAATGAGCTGTTTCTCCTCTCATTACCTCTCAAAAAATTTTGTATCTTTGGATTGAAACTAAGCGTTTGAAGCCCTATAATTTTCGTTTGAAGAAACATATTTTCTTTTTCTTGGCTTGCATGCATTTTTCTGAGTTACTTTTGTGACCCTCGCCTCCTCTCGATCTGTCTTGTGGCATTTCAAAATTTTGAATTACACTGGGCTATGTGTACAGGGCAATCTTTTTTAATTAGACTTCAAACAGCTGCATTTATCTCATTCCTGCACAATTTAATTTTCAAATATGCTTGGCAGCACTTTCAACCAAGCTTGTCTGCTGCTTCAGTATTCCGTTGAATTCTCTCTGGATTTTGTTTGAGCGATGCCAATTTTAAGTTGAACCCCTATATTGTGTGGGAAATGTGGCTTACATAATCAAGTCCAACTTTTCAGCAAGTTCTGTCGCATTTAAAAGAAACGATGCCCTTTCAGCTATTACTTTCTCTTTGTCGAGAATGGATAAAGATTTTGGTGAGTCTTAACAAGATGTGCTCTGCCTATCTTTTAAAAATTTGGAAAAATCAAAGCCTGACTTCATACTCCTAGCATATATCTTCAAAATTATCCAGAATTTAGAACTTTTAAATGAGTAATTATGACAATAATCAAAGAAATACATTTTTGGCAGAGTTTCAGCCCACTTTCAGTTGATCTCGACTTTATTCAAAATTTTTACGTTTTTGTAAAGAAAAAATTTAATTTGTTAAAGAAAGACTTATCTTTAGGGACACTAAAATCAGCATTTAGAATAAGAGGTTAATCATTCATGCATCTTTCTTTTACTTCAATTTGATAAAAATAATGAAAAAATTGCTCTTTTTAATCCTCTGCTCCCCACGGTATTGTCTGCTTCATGTTCACCTCAAATTTTCTAAAAGTATTAGTTCTTTCATTGCTATTGATCACCCTTATTTTCAATTTTTTTGGTCAATACATTCTTCAATCAGGGGCTGGTTAATGTGCAAGTTTAATTTTATTTTATTTATTTATGTTTTAAGTAAAACTAAAAACGCCAAATTCACTATTCTCTGATTTCTGCATTTTGTAGAAACGCACACAAAAAAGGCCAAAATTTAATTTGTTACTGATCCTCAAATTTTTATTTTCTTACTTTGTAACGGTAGACTATTTTGATTTCTTTAACGTTTTGCTAAGTATAAGTACTTATTATTCTTATAATATGAGTAATCAAAGTCTGTAGTGTACTTCCACGGTGAATAATTTGGAACATTCAATGAGACTGTCAAATAATTTAGAGCAAACTCATGATTAAGCCAAGATTAGTTTCCTCTAATTTAGCTTGTGTATTGGAAAGCTGTTTTTCGAATTTTAATGTATGCATTTGAAAGAAAGAACGCCAGAGGCATTGCCATTGTAGCGTTGCAACGTTTCACTTGACGCATTATTTTTTCCCTTAAGGATACATACTCGCAAAATTTATTTTAAAAACTTGTTGTGAACTTCCTTTGTAGACTGATAAAATTCTCTGAAATTTTCAACTTAAAATATGAACCTGTCAATGAATGGAGCAATACTTCGACAAGTGAAACAATGTAAGGTTTTTGTTCAATTACGTCAGCCTGGCACTCCACCCTTTTTTTCTAAGGCTGAATTGTTTTTAAAGGAATTAGTTTTTTTTTTTTTTTTCAAGAAATACTGTTTTATGCCTTTGGAACAAAGTATCGTTTTGATATGCGCGTTACGCTCTCGCTTAACACAGTATCTCTCAGAAAAGAATAGTTGAAAATTCTGTTTTTTTTCGGTCCGTTTCTTGCGAGATTATCCCTTTTCAGCTCTGATCTTTCTTTCATTTTTTTATTTAATTTTTTTCCCCTAATCACCAAATAACTGTCTAAAACATTATTATTCTTTTTACACGCTTAAGTCTTTGTACCTAAAACTGCAAGGTTGAAATAAATTGCAATTGACCGCTAGAATGTGTTTTAAAATTTTGTAACCCTCCTCCCCAAGATACAGCAACTTGGAGCTTTATTGCGAGGGATGTAGTTAATTGAATGCCATTATCTAGTACAGAACTATCAAAGTTGGGCGTACTGTTGGAACTACATCCTTAAAAAGAACATATCCATTCTAAGGATGAGTTAAAGCTTACATTCAGTCGTATGGAGGGTGATAATGCAAACAATGATTGAAAACGTTCATGAATATGTTTATTTCATTAATCGGTCTCTAACTTATAGTTAATTTGGTAGGTAGATGATTACTAGTAGATCGTCTCTAATACAAAAGACATTTACAAAAATAAACCCCGCAGTTTTTTAAGTTGTACATTCAGGAGAATTCTTACCATGAGTTTAGAAATTCTGGGGGGTTCAACGAATCGACCGAGTTTGACAGAAACATACCATTAGACGTCACATTTAACGTCATGTTTAAACGTCACATTTCAGAGGAAAAAATTTGTTGAGAGTAGATTTGAATTAAACTAGCTGTAAACTTTTTCTAGTTAAAAATTCAAAGACACAAAAAAAATATTGATAAAAATAGTCATTGAACATACTCCTTGATATTGCGTCGAACGGAGGAATGATTCTTCAAAACTCGATTTCTCGGATGAAACTTAATGCGACTTTATGCACTTCTGCTGAATTTGGTCCAAACTGCTCTGAATTATTGATTGTTTCTTATGATTAATATTGTAGAAAAAACCAAATTCATTTTCGTCAAAAATATCACTACGCCACTTTTTTCGTAATAAGAAAAGAACCTCTTTAAAACCTCCTAAATTAGAGTAAAAACTCCTCGAATGCTAAATAACGCTTCTGCTTTGACCAAAGTAAAATTACATTCCATGATCTCACACTTTTGACTGTATTTCGAAAATTTCTCAGTAATTTTTTCAAAACAGATAGCTCAGATTCAGCTTTCACCGACATAATGAATCTGATTGATTGGTTGAAAAAAAAAAAAAAACAGTATTTTAGCAAAATTGATTAAATTACTAAGTGTTTTCTTTTTTGGATGAGGAGTTTTCTGCAAGAGTTCATGACAGACTTGGACCTAGAAAAAGAGACAGGATCACCGTTCTAGATATGACTATTTCTCATTCCAAAGATGGCTAATAGTCTAATCAGCTCATTGCAAACATGACAATAGACTTATGTATTTCAAAACTGGTAACGATCAATCATGAATCAACATTATACGGATTGCTCTACTATATATTGTCTGATTTTTTTTGTACCCCAGTAGCTGAAGGCAAGCTAACCTTGCGGCTTATGAAGGAAACATTTTTTAGAGAAACCTTGCATAGCGATTCGAAAACTTGGTAATCGCTCTTTTATTTTAATTTCAGTTGAGTAAATTATGCTACCACTAAATTAATTTAAAAGAATGTACAAATACTATCATCTTGCTTACACTAAGAGCGATTTTTTTTATTATTATTATTTTCAAATCACTAAAACTTTTAAGCCTCATCTAACTTTGCTTCTCGGTTCTTTTGGTGTTATACTGGAGGCTTTTAAATTAAAAAAATACAATAAAAAATAAATTGATACTTCAGTCATCAAATTGATTTTATGAAACCTCATATGTATTGATGTGGGAGACGAACAAATTGATAGAATGATAGATAATTTTTGGATGACTTTCAGTGAATATTCTTAAAGGGGCGCATCATTAAATGCAGTTATACTGTGAGAACAGCGTATAAATGAAGGAATTCTGAACAGTAAATGCATGAAGTACTTAGGAAAAAAAGAAAAAAAAACTCATTGAATTGTTACAATACGAGTATTTGTGTCCAAAATCTCTGGTTTTAAAATTTGCCATTCCAAAATTGAGGGCACTGACAAGAGCCATGCAAGCACTCGGTTGTTGTTACAAAATTTTTAAAAAATATCTCTGAGATTTACAGAGAACATTTTTCCTTCAAGAGAATCAAGACAAAAAAGTTAGTTAGGTGTTCAACAGCGAAATCTCCATTTAACTCTCAGGAAAGAAAATTATTCTAACTTTTTTGATAGATTCCGAACACATACATCAAATGTTAATACAAATTATTTTCACCTAAAAATGTGTAAAAAAAACTTACTTGACTAAATTGGAAATAATGAGGGGGTACCCACCGAGAAGAAAAAAACAAAAAAAACAAGAACTTCTTTGTGAATCTAATACATGGCTTGCATCACTCCTAGTATTGACATTACTGCCCCAAAGATGGCAACAATCTAAACAGGGTTATACTCATGACTTTTTCTGCTTTATTGTCCATCCTGATTTTGAATGAATGGTTCTGATAAGACAATGACCATTTTTGATGACGCTTCTATGTTTACAAGCTAATCTACAGTGCATTACAAGCTTATCTTTATTGCTTTAAACAGTTTTATTTTCACGCCATTTATTTTCTTGTACATCTTGATTCTATAATGATTGACGCAAATCTCTCACTATCAAGAAATTAGATCACACAGGACTGTCGGCAGAACAGGCCTCCAGAATGGTCATTGCCTAATCAATTCCACTGAACAAAAATTTGGACAAACAAAAACAGAGGAAAATTGTACATACAATAGGTATGATACCTGATGAAAATAGAAAACCATTCAACCTAAACTGAGATGTTCCGCATAGAGGCAATAATTTAATATTTTCAATTTCAACTCCACAAGTGCACAGGACTCTTCCTTTAATTGTATTCATCAATTTTCTATTCCTTGAGGTTCGCGATAGCAACTTTGAAACTTAATTCAAGAGCAATACGCAGTATTGAAAATTCGTTTCCTACTTTGTTTAATGCGGCTAGGCTATGTCAAAGGTCTAAATTTTTTCTCCTTCTTTTTCGATTTATACCGCCATGTCTAATCACTAAAAATTACAATTAAAGGTACCTAACTGCTATAAACACATATCTCAGATTGCATGATTTACCAGGTTCATAGTAGTATTAAGGCGAAAATATCTCATTCAAGTTGAGGCAAGACATAAGGAGGGGAAACTAAAATTTAAAAAAGAAAAGAAACATAAAACTAAGAGCACTAAACTTCAATCATCAGGAAATTCACAATCCAAAACCCACCCTTCCATGATCGAAGTTTAGCGTATCATTTCACTCACCAAAAATTAAGATAGCAACACATGAAGATAGATTCTTAAACAACAAAGGAAAATTGTTAATTAAGATGTTGGTATTTTATTGACTCTTATCACAGTAAGCAAGTAAACTGGCTTCTTAGGACGACAGAAATAGAACCATAAAAAAAATCCCAGCTAACAAAGGATTATGCTTTGGTATGGATGCTGCAATGGAATACAATTCAACAAACTTGGCTTAGAAACAAACCTTATCGAGTCAACAATCAACATCTTTTCAGGTTCTTCAATAGATTGCCTACATAAATCTTTGGTACACTCGAGAAATAATTGACATCTGAATATTTTATTTAAATGGAAAAAAATGAAATTGCTGATTTAAAAATTTTGTGGTTAAAAAGTGTCCGACATGTTTCAATGTAGATTTTACAATAAACAAATGCTAATTAAACCACTCCCGTGGTTAAATGTACATTTGAAGCATGTTGGACACATTTTTAAACAATTTGATTGTTAAATCAGCAATCCATTTTTTTCCGTGCAAATCTATTTGTAGGAGGATTTGTGTTAATCCAATAAAATGCTCTAAAAAATTAGAAGAAACAATTTCACAAGTTTCTCAGGAGACTCGAATCTTATCGAAACAAATTCTGAAATTCCCAGGTGTGCTTTCAAAATTTATTCCTTACACAGTAAGGAAATAATTATATTTACTACGCAATTTTAAATAATACACAACATAAAACAAAAATATCACAGAGAAATAAGTATCCCTAGTAGCACAAAAATATCAGCTCACTTAAAAAAATTGAATACTAGTTGAATTAATGGCAGTGTAGTGAGATTCCCACTCAGCTGTCAATTAACGGAGCTTAGTGTCACATTCTTTCATCATAATTAAATTCTCTGATACTGGGGTAAGTTTGTGAGGGATGATGAGAGTTTCCAAGTTGAGATTTTCCACAAACTACGAATGTGACACTACGTATATACTTGCACTAACGTGAAATCCAATTAATTTTATTTACAACACCAATTTACAGTATCTAGAGTAGAAAAATGGGTGACTCAAGAAAGAAAAAAATAAATAGTAACTCTTCCAATGCTTTACTCCTCGAATGGAGGACACTAATAAATTAATTTAGAGAATATCGTAACAGATATTATTTTAGAGAGTAAAGGGACATATTGGTCTACCACACTTAAACAAATTGTTTATACAGGGTGTCTACGTTTTGGAATTTCATTATAGATTTTCCTAATTTTTCCTGTTATTTTGAGTGAATATCCCTAATCATGTGCGCGAGTAAACTGATATTAGTTTATTTTTACAAACTTACATTTTTAATGAATTGAATCAAATGGCTCACTTTTGAATGTGCTAAACTGCATGTAGTTGAAAAATGGTTGCGTATTTGAATTTTCTGATTCATGTCCGAGTTTCCTCATAATTTCTTGACAACAAATTTTCTGATAATTTCCGATTTTAACTGACAGTAGACACCCTGCAAAACACAGGACTTGTCCCCCTACGAAAATTTTCGGCAATCCCCAACAATGAAACACAATGGTGTTTTAAAAGTTATCCATCTGATCAACAGAAACAAGATTAGTAAATTTCGGCCATCATTAAGACGACCAAGGATGACCATCCATTGAAAGGTCTACATCCTTGACCCTCACCGGTGACATCGTTATACTGCTCCCAAATAAAACCAGTTTTCTTGAATTGTCTGAACATGTTGCCAATGACGTTTTTGCGCAAGTCTGAGTAGAGAGACTTGGCTTGACTAGCATAAGGTCCTGAAGATTCACTGTAATGAGATAGTGCTCTGAGAGCCAGATAATTCATCTGAATCCAAATTGGGCCTCGCCAGTAGGGAGGATCATGCTCTGTGTTGCGTTTCATGTAAAGAGGAGATGTCTTCGATAACGACCGCAATCCAAAATCAGTCCATAAAAGTTCAGGGTTCTTGAATTCACTTAGAATTTCACCTAAAGTATGGGACTCAGGATCTAGCATCAGGGATAGGAATGGAAATAGCGTAACATAACCGTATGTGCTGTCGACAAACTGATAAACTGGCTTGCTCTTTACGACTCGGTGAGCTTCTTTCGGTGGTGCCGTCGCTTTTGCAGGAGCTTTTGGTTTCATCAAAGCGACATCATCTGTATGCAAACCATAATCAGCATATCTTTTTGCTGCATTTGACCAGTGCAGCTCGTTTAGAAGGTCATTGTTACTCAGATAGTTGAAGCAACTGAGGAACTTGTCGTTAGGTTTTTTTAGGAGATCAGCAATTTCGGCCAAGACTCCAGCACTGATCATCAACCAGCACCTCAGATCAAGGTGCCTCTCAAGTTCAGTGGGATGCGAGGCACGGGGATAGTCGTCCAGACCAGAGGACAGAGTCTTCGGGTTCAACTCTCGGTTGGTTTCAGCATTTCTGCCGCGCCAGTAGTATGAACTTGAAATTGCCCCGTTTTGCGTCGTGTTGAACCAGTCAAACCATCTAACCAGCCGAGGGTATAATCTCTCTACAGCTGCAAGCCGATCGTCATTGATAACAATGGATTCGGAGAAGTGCTTCAGGATAAATTGCAGTGTTAGGAAAAAGGTTGGTGGATTTGCGTTCGTGTTGAATTGAACGACAAACTCCTCCGGCACTTTACTGAGAGCTTCTTTGCCGAGAATTTGTTCTCGCGGAATCCATCCTTCGACGTTCATGAGATCTAGCCAATGGCTCATGATATCCAACTCTATGTCTAAATCCCAAGCAGCGATTAGAAATCCGTGGAATCCTTCGTCCCATAAAAATCCACGAGGGAAAAAGCTGCGTGATGGCACTGCTGTGTATAGGGGGGCTTTCCAATAAGGGACAGGATTGGCTGTGTACTTGGATTGTACTTTAGAGGCACCGTAGAAGTAACTGACTCCTCCAAGAAGATTACTGAAAGCAGCCTCCGCGAATAGCATTTCTTCATCGGTGAATCCTTTCTTGGAAAGCTTGAATTTATTCTCGAACTTGGTGAAAAAATTTTTCTTGTGATTTTCCAGAGTGTTTGTGTAAACTTCTTGGCTCAGAGAGTCAGTGCGCACTGAGTCTGCTGATAGAGACTCATAAATTACCTCAAAACTGAAAGGGACTCTGGCTGTTATTTGCGAAACGATAAAGTTAGGCTTATTTTCCAGCTTTAACGTATCACCAAGCAGTACAATTTGATTGCCATTCAATCGCAAAGATTCTACAACAGTGTTGGTCAGCTCATGATAACCATTGGTTTTGGCACTTAAAAATGAGACATAGTCAATACTGCCTGAAATATTTACCAGGCGAACATTGAAATTACCTAATTTTTCCGAACGGCCTTCAAAACCAAATGTTTTGCCTTTGGTCCACATTATCGAGTCACCCTCTGCCTCAGTGGCAATGTAGTACAAAAACGTTACTTGTTCATTCTGAGCCATTTTATCCTGGAAAATGAGGAAAAAATACAGTTTTATCTGAAAGTCATAAAAGCATCTTATAAACAATTGTTTATCCATTACTTTTTTGTGGGAAAAGTTTGTCATATTGGATGCTCTGATCAAGAACTTCTTTTCAAGATTTAAGGGGGAAAAAACGTTGTGAGAAAAACAATATAGGATCTCCATAAGTTTGAATCCAAACATGATTCTCTCTTGATTCCTCTGAGAAACTACCCCTTGAGCTTACAAAGATCAATTGAGCCATTCTTACTGGAAAAACAATGGAGAGCAACAAAGGGGCACGGAGCAGTAAAACTCCAGCATTCCATCACAGCAGAAAAACATTTACTAAGTTCATCAACTATTTCTTTAATTTCTTCCATTTAGGTATTAAAGAAAAAAAGTTTAACACTCTTCATGCATACCTAGTCAGATAATTTTTGAATTTTATTGAGTATTCTTTTTTCATGTGTGAAAAAAAGTTAATTTTGTAAATAACTTAGAGCTGTGGAGGCTATCAGTGAAAGAATCACAGCTCACTGACTAACAAATCAAATTGACATACTTAAAAGACAGTATTTTAAAATTGAAAGAAGTATCTTAGGGAAGATTAGCGAACCACTTACTAACCGTTTAGTTGGATTAAAAACTTCTCTCTATCAAATAATATGCGTATTGTAGTGAAATCAAGTTTTTCAGTTCAATGACAAGGAACCTACCTCTGCAGTAATTGAGATTCTATTTGTCCAGTCTCCGCCATTTTTACCGATGACTCGCTTGACAAATGATGTTTCAATGTGAAAAGAACCATCATTTAAGTTCTGCACGCCAAAGTTTTTGCCATCATGGGCAACCCATGAGTAACCATCAAGATTGTCACCAGATTCACACCAATGCCTAAAATAATCAAAATCAGTGGGGTTGAAGAATACATAAAATCAGAATTTTCCAGGCAGCATTTACATAAGTTTTTTTTTTTTTTTTTTAATATTTAATTATCTTATCGCAATAGCATGGGAGCAAAGGACATCACCTCTCAATTAACCATGCTCTGAGCATCTCATAATTGAATCTCTTCCAATGAAGCTCTTGTATGCTTCAGGGACTTGCAATTTTAGTACTTTTTCAAAAGTAAAATTTCACAAGACACACAATGAAGCCTCTGGTTTCTTCTAAATGATCTCTCAAGTTCAAAAAAAGCTCTCAGATTGAGCTTATACTGGAGGGTTATCGCCCCACTCAATATCTTATCAAACTCTCCATGCACAGTGAGGGAGCAAATACTTAGCAGGGTTGCTGAGGTTCCAGCCTAAAAAAAATTCCTCAAAATAAAAATTGGTGACTCTGATAGTGTATTTGCTCCCTCTCTGTGCATGGAGAGTTTGACTAGATGTAGAGGAGGGCTCTCAGTATAGCTTGGAGGATCTCCTCCATTACAGCCTCAACCTAAAGAGCTTTTTTGAGCTTAGGAGTTTGTTTCGGAGAAAACTTTTCACCATCATAATTCTCGCAACATTTTAAACGAGAAAAGTACTTAAATCATAAATTTCTGACGCATGCAAGAGCTCAATTTTTGCACCTTGTTGTTTTTTGCAACATTTTTTACAGATAATGTGTCTTTCTTTTCAGAATTTCAACTTGCATTCAATGAAAATCTTACAGACTCTTCAAAATAGACATACTTTCAAAACAAAGCAAAGTTGGGAAAAATCGAGTAAAATATTTTAAAGTTTTTCCCTACACATTGGCTTAGAATTCATCATTTGAATGTATTAGCTTGACAACTATGCACCAAACTTTAACTTTTTACGATAAGTGTATCATAGGTTTGAATGTGGAGGCTAAATAATTACTAGAATCAACCGGTAAGTGGGCGAGTACAAGTATCTAAATTAAAATTTAAAAAAATGTTTAAAAAGAAAAAAAATTAATTTATTTACCTGATTCCTTTGTGGCCAGCACGAAGAAGTGAAGGAAAGTACCACATAAGGCCAGTAACCAGTGAGTTCGGCTCTCTGGTTTTCATTCCAAAATACACGCCACCGCGGTAAGAGCCCCAGTAGAGCTCGGGGACGTCTAAGCCAGATCGAACAACCATCTGTTGAAATAAGCATAAAAAGTCCATTAAAAAAATTAAAAATGCCTGCTATCTCAAGATACTCCAAAACCTTCCCTGTTTCTCGAACGAAACATTATGCCTTTTTAAATGGGAAATTGAAATCACATTAAGATTAGCCATCAGACATCCTAAACTTTTTCTACCCGTTGCTTGAAAGCAGTACTCTGTTTTTCGCGAAACTTATAGGAGCCACCTTTGCCAGAAAACGCCTGACATTTAGGAGCCGTTTACAATTTTTTAGAAGCCAAATTTACTTAAGGCATACGCATCATGTGCCACCGCTATTTGCCATTGAAGGTTTAAAAAAAATAACAAGGCGCATCAATTTTTTCCGGTGCCACAATGACCTAGCTCCTCTAATTTCCAAGCGTATGGCACCTAACACAGAATACTGAGCAGAACACTGGTTTTGAGACTATTGTGCCATCGATTCAAACATAGTTACCATATGCAGTTGGAAACAATAGGTTTATAATTGACACAGAGCAGAAATATTATGAAGATTTGGAAGTAATAGACTTAGCATACATGCATCATAAGATATTAGGATTATCTGTTGGTGGAAATTCAAATGCAGTGATAAAAAGAGTATAACTCACTTTATTATGGTCAAATCGGGTGTTGACCCGTGTCTCCAAGTAGCCTCTGTAGACAATCCATAATGCAGACGATACCAATCCTACAACCAGAGATATTTTAAGGATTGTTATAATACTTATTGAAGAGGTTGATGACTCTTGCCTTTTCTTCGCATTCGGTCGAAGAGTTGGAATGAGTGGCTTTTTTGGACGGGCCATTGGAACCTTAAGTTTGAATTCACCAGGGCACTAAAACATTACAGACAGATAAATATACTTGGGGACAGCTAGGAGTAGGCCAAAAATTGAAGATCAACGATGACAAACGGGAAGTTTCACGGAAAAACGGCTAAATATTTCATAGTAAAAGCCGCATTGGAAGTTTCTTATCAGTCACNCACAGAATACTGAGCAGAACACTGGTTTTGAGACTATTGTGCCATCGATTCAAACATAGTTACCATATGCAGTTGGAAACAATAGGTTTATAATTGACACAGAGCAGAAATATTATGAAGATTTGGAAGTAATAGACTTAGCATACATGCATCATAAGATATTAGGATTATCTGTCGGTGGAAATTCAAATGCAGTGATAAAAAGAGTATAACTCACTTTATTATGGTCAAATCGGGTGTTGACCCGTGTCTCCAAGTAGCCTCTGTAGACAATCCATAATGCAGACGATACCAATCCTACAACCAGAGATATTTTAAGGATAGTTATAATACTTATTGAAGAGGTTGATGACTCTTGCCTCTTCTTCGCATTCGGTCGAAGAGTTGGAATGAGTGGCTTTTTTGGACGGGCCATTGGAACCTTAAGTTTGAATTCACCAGGGCACTAAAACATTACAGACAGATAAATATACTTGGAGACAGCTAGGAGTAGGCCAAAAATTGAAGATCAACGATGACAAACGGGAAGTTTCACGGAAAAACGGCTAAATATTTCATAGTAAAAGCCGCATTGGAAGTTTCTTATCAGTCACCACGTCGAAACAAAACATAACCTCAACTGCAGCTGATAAACAATCATTCGACCAATCAAATCGTTGCATGACAAATGTCAACATAACCTTTCAAAAACTCAAAAAGTTGAATAACAACGCGAATCCGCATGAAATCACGCGAAAGTTTTCGTGCAATCTTCTTTCAGAATGCTTGAATTTTAAAGTTTGCAGTGTCTGATTATCACAACATCAGCACCATCGTGTGAAAAAATCCTACATTTTCTCTTACTATACCGGCATGAAAGCAGTAAAGCACCTCATGTGATCCTTACATCGCTCATGCATTTCTAACTAAGTACTCTGCGACAGATCAAGTGTTCTCATGGTCCTCCCTAAATGTCAGAAGTTTTCTATGATATAGTTTATTGAGGCTATCATTGCTTCAATTGAAAGAACTCAGTTTCATCCAATGCATTGAACTATGGCCAAAGTACTAAAGAAAAGAGCCCTAGCTGAGTACAGTCATCAAATAACAACCGTACGTATTTCATCTCTTTCTTACTTAATGACAATTAATTCGTACGTCGGAGTTTTTTGCCAATGTGCGTTAAAAATTCAGCATAAATCTGAAAATCTCAATACAGAGGGAAAAGCTCATATGAGCACAGTTTTCCCTCCAAGAGATATCGATGGTGTATGTTGGCAATCACATAACTCGGTTTGCAATGTCGCAGACTTCCTGTCATACTTTATTTTGTAAACGGAAAACTACTCAACGGCAATTCTTTAAAACTGCCATGATTTTTCTTCTCTGTGCGAAGAAAATTGTGCATAAACTTATAGGAATTATGTCAATTTGTTCTCTTTCAAAAAAATAATAAAGAGGCGGAGATTTTCAGACACCACAAACGAGTTATATGATTGCCGATTTACGCCGTCGACATGCTGTTTGGTGCAGCACTAGTTACGTCCATTCAGGAAGGCAACTGCAGATGCATTTCGGCCCTTTTGGGCCAATCCTCAGTGCAGTGCAGCCTCCTGAATTTTCTGCTACCTAGCTCGAGAGACCGTGAAAACCAGCCCGAGGAGCCCGACCAGCCTGTGGAGGTGTGGTGCCTTTAGGCGTTCATCTCTATAAAATTTACAAAAATAGATTTGGTTGGAATGTCTGCAGCACCATTACCCCACAAACGTATGTGCTCTTTATTTACCTATTACCTCAAGATGTAATGCTCCCTTCGACAAATTTTTTTATGTAGTTTTTGTACTTCCTGCAAGATAGATTCCTACAATATGAAAAGAATTTTTTCTCTTACTCATGCACAAATTTTCTTTTTTCTTGTTGAAGCGGCTCCGAGTTGAGTGTACCTACTTAAGTGTAGAACGGATCATTCTAAAATGTGGTTTAGAAATATGAAACCCTACAATATCAATTGATTAAAGTGAGTTATCTACTAATTTAAGGTAATAAATTAATGCTAGACTTGTTTTTTCACAGGAGGTTGAGCCGCCCTTGAAGAAGCTGCGATTGGTATCAAAGCCTGTCATCGAAAACACAGCCACCGTCTACATTGGTCTTCTCAACAAATGTAAAACCAGCAATGAGGCCTTGCAGCTCTTACTACGTATATCTGAGTCCTTGCATTTTCAAGTAAGCATTTTTGTCTCAAGATATTCTGTGGGGTGCGGGCAAGGGAAGGGGATATTCTGACAATCCACTCTTAACCACTAGCTTTTCTTGGAAGTTAGCTAGCATCGTTTTCTCCTCAGTCTCAGTTTAAACGTAATATACATTTTTTTGTAGGTAAAGCAACTTACTGCAAGAACCACTGGCTATTCTTTATACTTGAAGAACCAAACCGATCATTGGCAATTTCTGAGGATAGCCTTTCTTCCATGCAAAGGAAAATTGCTGAATGACCATTCTGCTGTCTCAAAAATTCCTCAAACAAAACGCTTATTTCAATGAATAGATATCAATAGTTTTCTTTGAAATTTTCAGGTACTTTAGATTAAGTTGTGGAAATGACCACAAAAAAAAAAAAATAAAACTTGCCTCCGTGGTACTTGAAAATACATGAATATTCTCATCTTTTTATCTTTGAAGTGAGCGTTGACTATTCTCAGCAATAGCAATTTAATAGCAACTCCTCCAGTAATAGTACCTAATTTCAATAATTTTAAGGAAAAATAAAGGATTTTACCAAATTTTAATGTTGTTATTATTTTTGTCTACTCTCTCATTAGGTTCAAATTCAGCAAGAAGGAACCAAAGCGATTACATTGTTTTCAAAATTGTTAAATTTCTTTTTTGTTTCAGAAAATACAAAATTTGTGTATATGTATTATCAAAATTTACATGATTATTTTCCATTGAAATCAAAAACTTTTTGTAGGTATAGCAAAAAAAAAAAATAAATACTATTTGCTACTCAAGGAAATTTTTCAGGTAATAATGATGCAAGATTTTAAAAATTACTGTAATTGCGCAGGTTCCCCTCCGCTATATGTACTTAATCCAACTATCATAGGCAATCAAAGTTGTGCTGTAAGAAAAAATAAATAAATTGAATAGACAAGTAGGTCTGGTATGGTAAAAAATGGTTATAAAATGGTTAAAAAATGGTATAAAATGGTTTCACTAGGAACTAAAGCCTGTTTTTATGTTTCAGGAGGATGAGGTGTTGCCTGCCATCAATCTACTCTTTGAATACTACCACCAACAAACTAACTCAGCAGTTCGCGTCGTTGTATTAAGTCTCATCTGTGATATCGCATCAGACTCCAAAGTCGATTTGCAGGTTTGTCTATCCAATGAGATTTTTCTTTGCAGCAATAGCTGGTGAATATACTGCTCAAAAAGTAAATCTGTGGGCTGGTGTGCAGTTTTTAACCTCTGTTTGCTTATCTCTCTGTTGTTTAGCAATGTTCATTTTGACAGTGATAATTTGAATGCAGTGCCTATGAAACCGCAGGATTTTTACAGGTCTGGAAAACCAAGAATGGACTACTAGACAAGGTACGAATTTTAGCATTCTGATACATGTTTCTTAACCAGAATTTCACGTAGAACACGATTCGCGCAATGAAAATTAATGAAACCAACTCCTAACGGAGATATTAACATTTTTATTTCACATTGGTTACGAGGAACTTGAACTGCCCGCTCACAAGAAACTCAAAGCTCTACGAGAGTCAAATCGCGCACTACAACGGTTTCAGCAATCTTCTCAATCGAGCAATGTTCATTTCCCACCATGTGTTGTTCAAACTATAAGCAATTTGCTACAGCTGAGCCAAAGCATCAAGATTGAGGTTGCCAGAGTTTTATATCTCGGAGACTGTCATGATAAACTTTTAGCGCGCGATGTGAATCACGTAGAGCATTGAGTTTTCATGAGCGGGTGATTTGAATTCACGCATCAAGAATTATTGAATATCTTTGTAAGGATGTGATTTCGGTAATATTCGTTGTGCCTATCGTGTTTTACGTGATATGTTGATTGAGAAACATGTAACAAAATTCTGAAATTTGCACCTTGTCTAGTGGTCCATTGTCGAGGAATTTCATCAGCGGGCTTATTATTGAAAAATTAAAGCAACCCGATAGGACATCAAAAAGCGATATATTGCATGGTTAAGATAGGGCTATGTCTTCTTTTGCCGTGCTTATATTGTTTCAATAATCGGCCGCAGATTAGGGAAATCAAGGAGAAATCGTAGAATTTATGACAAATACTGGAAATTTAAAAAACCTCTAAACTTGAAATCTGGAAAAACATCAACATTATCCACACAATCAAAAAACAAAAAGTTCGCAAGACTGGTTCGAGGTTCAATTTTCGGAGACTCATTCTAAAGTGGAGGAATAATCCTCAGTTAGGAATTGCAATTCTAGTCAATGGAACAGCTAATATCTGAAGAAAGAAGGCTCAAATGTTTCTGTAATTTGCGGTGCAATTAGAATAAAAACTGTTTCATTTTCAATTCTACGTTCGCAAATTGTACTTGTAAAAAGTCAGGGAATTTCGATCATTTTGTTCAGGGAAACCTGGAAAAGTCAATAAAATATTTTCTGCTGACGCTGTGAACATCATAAACAGTGTGATTCCAAGGAGCTCATACTAATGCATGAAAACTATATCGTCTTTTGTTGATCATGGTGAGTGAGAACCATGTGAAAGGTAAATAATTCTTCAAATTATTTTCTGACCGCCACCAAGCAGCATCTCACTTCAGGAAGAGAACTTATTTATCTGTCCCACTTTATAAAATGCATTACACCGGTAGATTGTACTGACTGAAAATCACTGGTGTGAGGCATTGTTACCAAGAGGATTAAAAGATCCTTACTTTCAAACCTTTGACATCTCATCTCAATTTTGCGGTTGGCTCTATTAAAAAGTTTGCCCACAGAGGAGTGTGTATGAATAGTATCCTATTACTTAAGAGAAAAGTACATTTCAAGTTTTGACTTGAATTCCATGACCAGCCATTGCCCCGCAGGCCTGTTGCACGATACGCCCTTTTAGCCCCTTTAGTGTGACTCTCCACTCACCGCTCTTTCTCTCAATTTTATTGTTCTGTTTTCTCCAATTTTTCAGGTTGTGATAGAGGATACTCTCAACTCTTTAAAGAAAGAAGAGTCCCACAAAGTCCTGACCCAAGGCCTTTCAACTTTAATGAAACTCGGGAAGTTGACTCCTGATAATGTGTCACTTCATCTCAAGTTGGTTCAGTTTGCTAAGCAGCATTTGAACGATACAAGTTACTCCGTGAAAAACAAAGCAATGGACTTAATCGGAGAATTACAACCACTTGTTGGCATTTCGGAGTCGAGCGTTCAAGCAACGTTTAAATTGATCATGGACTTCACCCACAGTCAGGATGCCAGAGTCAGAAGTGCAGCTTTTAACACTGTGGTGCGCAGTCTTATCTTTTCTTTCCCTGTTTTGCAAAGATCCATTTTTTGTATCATGCTCTCTGTCAAATTGCTGTCAGAACCTGCTGTGTGTCTAAAGCCTCGTGAATACATCTCAAAAATCAATCTTTAAATTAATGGGAATTTCACTAGGCATAATAACAATTAATTAAAAATTCAACATTTCAAACAGATTTGCGACTCAATCCATGAAAAGGGACCTTTTTTTCCAAGAGAAAATTGTCCTTAACTTGTTGCAAATTATAAAAAAATGGTGGGAAAAATCTGGAAATTTTGGCGCAAGTTTGACCCTGAAATCTCAAGAATTGAAGAAGATATTAGTCCTGAAAGTTCAAAACCAAAAATCTTAGGTTGTAGAAAAAGTGGTTTAAGTATTTGCAAAATTTCAAGGATAATTTTTTCCCAGAAGATAAGGTCCCATTTCACTGTTACGGTCACAATTTTATTCTGTATAATTGAAAGTCATGCTGATATTGTGATTCATTTTATCTGCCAATACGAGACATTGCCTTATAAAGCTTCTGCAGGCCTATTTTGAAATTTAATCCCAGTTAATGTGAAAAGATGAGGCCAAGCGTAAATGGAGACAGACAGTCAGGTTACCAGCTGGTCTCGTCACTCAATGTCCTTTCATTTTGATGAGTAGGCTAAGAATTGATCAATTGGTTATTGATCATCGAAAGAGATGCAAATAGCTTGTTTGTCATCTAACCTGACAAAAACGTGAGATAGAAATGAAGTGATTCTACTGACGAATTGATTCTGACAACATCTCAACTCGGTACTCTGTACTCTCAATCTCTAAGACACTTTCTAACATTTTATAACAATCCAGCGCCAGTACACTGAACTTCGGATTCTCCAAATGAATGTGGCCGTCAACCAGTTTGTATAATTGAAATTTTGGATAATGCAGAGGCCACTATGATGAGCTTAATTTGTCTCCCTAAATTCATAAAATGTGATGAAGTATACACAAATTTCAGTGAAGTACTATATTAGATAGTCATAAATAAAATATACAATAAAATAGGTTTGAGAGCGAAGCAAATAATCGGGGAGAAGGAAGAAGTCTTATCAATGGGTTTGCTTTGGCCGCTGAGAGAAAGTACAAAAATCAGGCCATAAAAAATAATCAGTTCTTCCAAAAATTAGTTTAGATCATCTGCAGTTTGGATAATCTGAGTTATGATGATCTGAGGCCTAGTGTACATTTTAGAATCTTTTATTGTTAATTTACACTCCATTTTCTGTTTCACAGATTGTTCTTCATGAACGAGGCTTAAAACTGAAACCGTCACATTACTCAAATATCTGTATAGCCCTGAGAGATGATTATGAGATCGTTCGGCAAGCTGCGCTCAAACTTGTGTGGATACTTGGCGTCAATTATCCTGAAAAGTATGGCTTGAATTTTGCTAACATTTAATATATACCTTCCTCTTTGAAATTTTAATTTATTGTTTTTCAACATTGTAAAGATCCATGTGAAAAAATATTACCCGAGAGTGAGTCAACTCATTAAAAAACTATTCCTGTAATTTATGGATGAAAAATTTACTGCTGGGTGATGTCATCATGCGACACTTCCCATTTAAACATATGTATTTTATCAGATTAGGTCATTTTGCATATCTCTTGAAATAATTGTTCAACTTAGAAACCATGGAAATCTTTGTACTCGGTTGTTTCCACTTAAACAGAAATTCATCTAATTTCAGACCTTTGCAAATTTCCATTTGACAACTGTCAAGTTTCTAAAACATTGGCTTTATTGAATTGAGGTTTCTTTCCTCATAAACAGACACATGTTCAAAGTATCTAGCGACTAGGAAAATCAGGGAGAGATTGCAAGTGGAAGAGTCGTAACCTTCAATGCAAGATAGTGATTTTTTGTCTAAATTCATGGCGCTGGGTACTGAACCCCTTAAGCACTCTCTCCCAGTCCGTGATGAGGTTTTCCTTAGAAAATTCAAGCTTCTTGGTTAAATGAATCGGCATCCATTGCAGTACTATCCGCTGATCTATGGTAATTTTTGCGTCTCTGTCGATTTGCGAAAAAAGGTCAGGGAGAACCACAGAGAGTAAGTCAGACAGATAATCCAAGGGTAGCGGAAAGCTTGGGAACTTAGCAAGAAGGGTATGAAAATTTTGTGAAGCATACTGAATATAACAAAACTGACTTTTCACCATTTGTTTATTCTCTCTTTGTGAGAAAATATGTACTCTTAAAAATATTCAAAGCTCCATTTAGTGGGTACTGTGTCATTGTTTTTATCTTTTTTCCACAGCACAATTGTTTTACCAGATAGTGAAGAAGAAATTAGACTGATTGATGATGCTTTTGGAAACATCTGCACAGCAGTAAATGACTTGTCTGTCCGCGTGAGAACACAAGCTTGTAAACTCCTTGGCTCTATGACAGCCGTCAGTTCAAAGTTTCTGCATCAAACGCTGGATAAGAAACTTATGTCTAACATGAGGGTAAGTTAGTGCCTAAGTCCTCCTAGGCATTTAAGCCACTTAATTTATAATCTACCTGCAAGTCAAAGTTCATGATTGTTTTGCTTCAACTATAAATTGTGGTTACATGTATTTTTATTGTATGAAAAAAAAGGAAATTAAAGAAATATTAAGCCTCTATTAACAAAAAAACTGAAAACCTGAAGAACTAACTATTATGACGAAATTGGAAAAGACGGATTTTATGGCGGGAGTTAAAATTGAAATGATGAAGTCTAAGCTCACCTTGTAAGAAAGCTTATGCGAGTCAACCTTCTAATATCTCTTCAAATCGCATCATCATTAAGTTCTACCCATGAAATTAACTGAAATTAATCTGTTTGTAGTTTGAAATTGATTTATGTGTCTTGGAAATGTCCATCCCCCTCTCTGGAATTCAGCTCCAAATCCTCCCTGAAAAAGGACATGGGTGCAACTATTTCTTTCAAGAGTTTTGAGGAAACTTTTGAATTTGAATTTTTCTGTGTTTTTTTTTCTGTTTTTTTTTTTCCTCCGTAGAAAAATCAAACGTTTGTTATTTTTGCTTGAGAATCAAGTGGTCATAATGTGAGAGCCTATTGTAGACTTGCTCTATCAAAATATTTAACTTCCTTTTTATATCCAAGTTGAAATGTTGATTTAGGTTGCAGTTTCCTGAAGAACAGAACTCAATTATTTCAAGTGAAACTCGTTTTAAGTACTCATCATTCCATGAATTATTAAAATATTTTTACTTTTAGTGGAATTTCCATATCAAATTGTTTCTTAAAATGTGTTTTTTTTTTCTTTTTTCCTGCAAAATTTTAGAAAAAGAAGTCAGCCCATGAACGAGATTTTGAAAATTTAGTTAGTGGAGAGTGGGCAAGTGGTAACAAATGGGCGGACGATAAACCTAGAGAGTTAATTGATTCTGATGCAATCAGTTTAATGCGGTCTGGTGCTTGTGGAGCATTTGTGCATGGATTGGAGGATGAGTTTCTGGGTAACTAAGCCTTCATTACCTCTATTTTAGTGAATTCTTCCTGTAAGAAATCTTACTGTCCAATTCAATCTAATGAATCAAACTTAATCATCATCACTAACTTTCTAGTGTAACCATAACAGACAAAGGCAGGATTTGTTGTTCAAATTTTTGTTAGTTTGTCTCCTGGTTTAGCTATTTTTACTTAGTTTTAATGGTATCATTTACTCATTTCTTGCGTTCAAAATGATGCATGGCTGAACTGCTTAAGTTTACTTTCCGAATTTTGCACACACAACTCAATAAAGAAGAAAAAAAAATTTAAATGAAATAAAATAAAAAATAACTAACCAATAACCTCAATTCTCAAAATAATGAATCATCGGTATTTTATTTTATTTCCATGATTAGGGTCTGATTCTGCCTCCTCTTAATATCACTCAGCCTCTCGATAAAATTTGTCTGGTACTTTAAGCACCTATGCAATTTTAACCAAAGTTGTAGGCTTTTAGTTCTGTTTGTAAATTAACCTTTTAGAGGTGAAAATGTCATTTGGACTGTGAAATTTAGTATGTACTGAAGCTTAAAATTTCTTAATACAGCATTCAAACATTTGCTTTGTCAAGGAGTCAAATCTGTTGGTAGAAACAGGTCTAAGTGATAGCTTTCATTTAATTTTCGTTTTATTTGTTTGGTTTAGAGGTGAGAACAGCAGCTGTTGAGGCTATCTGCAACCTTGCCCAGGACAACAATCAATTTGCGTCAGTCTCTTTAGATTTTTTGGTGGATATGTTCAATGACGAGATTGAAGACGTGAGATTAATTGCAATCAACAGTCTTACAAAAATGTCGCGGCATATTGAGCTGCGAGAGGACCAGTTAGAAACTGTTTTAGGAGCTTTAGAGGTAAGTTTCTAGTACAACGTAAACAAAAAAACCCAAAAATATTGAGGTAACAAACTGAGACACTAAGAGTGTAAGAATAGGGAGGAAATTCAAAATACAAAAGTGTCAAATCGAAATTAATAAATTTAAGAATTGATTTCGTTTATTCTGTGAGTTGAGTTTATTGTTCTTGACTTTATACATCTTTATGTTGCGTTTTATTAAGTTTTTAGTGTTTTGTAAGGGAATAATCCGAAATTTTAATGGGAAGTAGGCAGAAGAGAACCATTTACATTCCAGTATTGCAAAAATTGCATATCTCATTCTTTGCTGCTAAAAATAGACAAAAAAAGTGAGAGATTGTAACAAAATTAAATACCCAGAATAATTTTCTGTTTGATGGCTCATTAAAAAGGGTAAAAATTAAAACGCAAAATTGAAAAACCTCGAACACAACGTTTAGTCGACTGTAAAGGCTTTGCCTTTCATCTCTCCAAAAAATTCAGCCAGATCATGCTGATTCTCAGTTCCTATAGCAGGAAAACAACAACTTTTAAAAATTACCTACCTGTCATCCAGTCTTAACCAAGCATCATGCTGTATGAAATCTGTTTAGTGCAGTAAATGAAGTCACAAAAAATATAACCGATAACCAGCGGAGACATGAACTGATTTGAGAAACACTCATTTTTGCTCATCGTAAATTGCCACTCCGATTAATAACTATCTCTCGATGTGAACTTAATTTGCACATTGGATATAGATTTTCTGTTGAGTGCACCATTTGCAAGCGTTACTTGGTCTTGGATCCTTTAAATATCGATGATTAAAGTGGGAAACAATGAATCTCCGTTTGCAACTTATTGTTGTACTTTATTTTTTCCTCAGGAATCTAGACAATGTAATTGTTCTAAAACTTCCTTGAACTTTTTTCTCCGTCAGAAGAATATTCTTCACAAATTTCTGGCTTGTTTCTCCTTAAAATGATTAAATAGCAGAATTTTGACACACCACAATAGACTTGAGTGCTTTTGCATTTTGGCCATTAATATAGTAGCCGTATCGAAAGTACTGTTCGGTACAGTGTATCTAGTTTGTCATAGAATCCATTAAATCTTGCATCATACATCACAAAGGACACCCTTTTTCAGAATATGAGCCTAGGAATTTCCACACGAGAACTGCTGTATTAAAGGATGAAATTGCTGTACATTCGCTCTTTTACTCTTCATCAAAATTACCATTCAAATTCATCGTCAAGAAAAGTGCAGGTAGTCTTTCCCAACCTCTTTACCTCTTCGAACATGTTAAAATGAATGAGTAAGCTGCTGAAGATATGTAGCGTGAAAAGTACCATTTTAAGCATCTAGATAAAATGTTAAATCTGGATAGAACCAGCTGACCTTTTTTAAAGTTTCAATGTGCATTTTTCTATAGCCTGTTTGTTACCTCACAGGATTTTTCAATGGACGTTAGAGAAGGTCTGCATTTGATGTTAGCATCTTGTCGTCTCTCCACGAAAGATTGTCTACAAATGTGCGTGGATGGTCTTTTGGATAACTTGAAGAAGTATCCTCAGGTAAGCTCAGGCGAGATATATTATTTATTTATTTTTTTATTTAACAAAAATCAACAGGCAGAGCCCAATTACAAGACGAACGGTGAAAATGAGTGATAGACAACTAAAGAAACAGTTTAAAGTAGCAACAACAGAGAGCAAATGAGAAACTCAACAAAAATATCATAAACATTTGGAAAAAAATGTCTCATGCTCATTTTGAAAAATTAAGTCATAGATGGTCATTCTTGAGTTCGATATAACCTTTTTTCGCAAGCCGTGTATAGTAATTTTCAGTGTTTTGATACTTTATGTTTCATGAAACCATCGTATTGAATTAATCCAAATGTATTGATTTGCAGGACAAAAAGTCAACATGGCATTGTTTGCAGAAAATGGGCTCAAAACATCCAACACTTACCTTATCTCTAGTCCCTTCCTTGTTAGCCATCCATCCCTTTTTCGACATGCCAGAACCCAATGTGGACGATCCAGCCTGTATCCTTTTTTAATTTTTCTCTCTCATTTTGACTTTTCATGTTATTTAATAGCATAAAATATTCAAAGAAATTGGACAGCAACAGCTGTCAGGGTGGAAACAGTTTTCAATATACAAGGAAAAATCTGTAGAACAAACGACTCACTTTCATTTTCTTTTGTACAATTTTTCCGGACCGATTTCGGTCATGCAGCCCATCTTCAGCAATAAACACAACTAATCCAATCAGTCAGGCAGGAATCAGCAGGCTAGTTATTGCAAAATAAAGCAATAGTCAAAGACGATGATGGAAACATGGAGCAATCTTAAAAGTTGAATTGGGTACTTGTCAAAGATTGAAGGATAAAATGATGGACTGACTATAGGGCATCTCAAGGGTTGCTGTTTACTTAGTCCATTATTTACTTCCTTTGTTCATTCCAATCACTGGCTTCCGCCAACAGGATCCCTCTATTTTCCTCTTGTCTACTTTGTTGATTCAATTCTTTGTTGATTCTTTGTTGATCAATTTCAACATACAGCCCGCAGTCATATTTATCACTGAATAAGGAGCTGCATGCTTGAAACTGTTTTGGAAAAATTGTTACAAAAGAATGAAAAATTCAGTCGTTAATTATACTTTTTTCTTTTTGTACAGTTCGGGCAGTGCCTGCGTTTTTTTGTTTTTGTTGTAGCACTCGATATATTCCACCTATCTTATGAATTAAATAGGTGAAGCTTGCTTGGACAGTAATCAATCAGTCAAATAACTTTAACAAAACTTTGTACTTTTTGTCCTATTACCCTGTCAATTCACTGGTTGAATTAACTGGTGAATGGTGATGGATTAGTTAAATTGCTTACGGATGAAATCGCTTGTCAAATTTTTTTTTTTTTTGCATAATTGGTTTTAAAGAGGTCCTCAAAAAATATTTTATTCCCTTAACTCTATTTCATTCAGATATTTGTATATTAATTCTTGTTCTTAACGCTGCACAACATTGTCCGCCAATGCTGCAATTGTTCGAAGAAAATACGATCAAGCATTATAGTTACCTAAGGGATACAATGCCAAACCTTGTGCCTCAGTTGAAAGTAAGTGTCTTGGAAGGTTCCTTGTCTTGGTTATTTAAATTAGAAACAATTGCAATTACAATTTCAGGTTTGAAGAAACAGAAAATTGCTCAAAATTTTTTAGGGCAGATCTCTATCTCGAGACTCTGACGTGTACACCAAAGAACAAGGTGACTGAAAGAAAGGCATCCAAAAAGAAATTACCATCTTAAGTGCCGAGAATCCACGAATGTTCTAAATATTGTATTATATTAAAATCTATAAATTCACAATTGAGCCTCCGTATAATGAAATGTAATGGTCCAAGGGAAAAGTTCTCAGTTCTTAAAAGTCAATTTTTCAGAGCAATAATTGAGGGCTTGGAGGACTAGGTGCATAAGTGCAATTCTTGCTATTTCAAGAAATATGTGTTTAAAGTTTCAAAATTATATGGAGCCTTATGGCGGAAAGAAAGTTTAAACTCACTTTTTGATGCTTTAAAGTTGGATTGTAGTTGTGAATTTTTCACAAAATGTACCTTCAAAATAGTTTTAGTTGAGTTCATGAATTTTTCAATTTTTCAAAAAGCCCCTCAATTTATGCAGTTTTATTTTATACCTTCGCACCGCCGTTTTTAGCATTACACCTAACAAAGCTTTGGATTCATTTTCAGTTCAATGTTTCTCTTCAATCCTCTGAATTGAAGTCAGTGGAAACAGCAACTTCCCAATTTTTGGAATCTTTATTGAGCAAAATAGAGGCAGCACCTTCGAATGGAGTGCGGACAGAGCTCCTTGGTGCTGCGGAAAGAGATTTGGATCGCTTGTCGCAAATAGATTCAGCGGTAGCAGGTTCGGCAAGACTGAGCGCCCTTTTCATCTCTTCGCAGCTGCTCTTCTCAAAAATCATCAATAATAACATGTTCTGCTCCAATTCCAACACAGCTCAGCAGACCAATACTGTCAAGAATTGTATGACTCGACTGCTGCAAAACGCTTTGAAGTAAGTACATAATTATCATCTCCTATCCTCCATTCCCATATTCTCAGCCCTCAATTTCTAACTCTGAGATCTGAGACATCGATCTTAATGAATTTTACAAGAAACAGTCGAAATTCTCCGTCAAGTAAGGTAAGGACAAAAAAATGACTCGCCCTTTCCTAACTTCCTGTAGTGTAATCGTAGTACAGTTGTGCGAGTCCAAATAAAAATAAAATATACACATATGTATATCATGTAAAATCTTATTTGAATCAAAATTATTTTTGTAAATATAAAATTTTTTTAAAATCTTATCAACACAATGTAAGAGTATTCTAATAGAAATAATGTAATAAAATTTACTTTTCTATATTGAATATTAAATCACTCTGATGTTGTTCACGGTCATAATACATTCTTGATATGTTTTACACAAGAGAATTTTGTATTCTGCATTTTGAGTAAATGAAGAAGCTTTGCTTTCAAAGTGCTATGTGTTAGTTTCATTTTCAAATACAGATTTTATATGAAAATATCGGCTTTATACATAAAAAATCAATGAAGTTGTACTATTTGCTGAAACTCAAATCACCGCAAGCTTCGGAAGCAAATGCAGTAAAAAAAAAACCCCTCTTCTGTGTTGATGTAGTATAAATGTTACGTAGTCCTCAAATGTGTGTTTATGATGTTTCAGATTAGAGCATTGTTTTGTTGGATTAGATGAACAAAGACTAGCACTGGTTAAACAATTTAAGCTAAAAGTTTTAGCGTTACACTTGGTCTATATTGTTCGGGCAACAAATCAATCAGCCAGAGCTCTAACGCATTTCTTCCTGTCCCAAGTGGACAGGATACACAAGTAAGTATTCAAGTTGATGACTGTCACTGAGCCAGTAGTGATTTTACAAGTTGTTCCATTTAAATCCATTAAAAATATCGATTTCATGTGAGGCAAGTTACCTCGCCAAAAATCGATTGTATTCGATATTTTTAAATGAAAGAATAACAGTGTTACCAACTTACAAGAATCGCCACCTTTGTTGAGTCTGTAGACAAGTTAGGAATAGCGGCTCGACATCATGAGTCTCGCTAATAGTTGCTTGCTCTGCTTATTTTTAGTTACCTGATGAAGATTGAGACCCCCTACGCTGTATCGCTGTATCTTCAGATCTAAAAAATCGACAGAGAAATTCCCAAAACCCACTTGTCGGTGCGGTGTTTCAAAATCTCCTCTCCCGCTTCATTTTTTCAATTGAGAAAAAATCAACAAGATTCCTTAAATTTTTTATACAATTTTATTAACACAACGGAAGAAATTCATAGACTTTTTCAAGAGACTACATTGAACAGTTATCAATTGCAAATATAAAGTGTGACAGGAAATTTATAATGCCGCAAACTGCGATATGTAGTTCGAAAATTTCCTCGTTGAAATTAGAAGAGTCAAGCAAAATTTTACTGTCAAAATGACATGAAATCATGAAGAAATACTATGCGTGTACATTAAATTTAATTTTTTTCTTTTTCTATCGGTGTCTATTGTCTATTTTTCTATTCTATTATTTGAAAATGTAACATTCAGAGTCTTTTTCAAAGAAAGTATTCCTGATGCTATGGAATGTAACTTTAGAATCAAGCCATACAACTTTATCGCCGTCTTTACAAGAGAAAAACTTGAGGCTTGTGTAATCACGAATGTAGATATTACATCTTCCTAGCGGAGAAAAATTGATTGTGCATATGTTTCAATAAAAAATAGTGAATGAATACTTGTTGCTCGTCAGAGGAAACAGAGAATAGTCTAGAATTTTAATTTTATTTTTTCCAATCAACAGGCAACTAAGAAAAAACTTTCTTGTATATGCATATAATTTGAATAATCACACAGTATCGTTACAGGAATGTCGTTTATAAACACCTCTGATATTCTAAGTGAAGAGCAGATGAATAGCAAATCTTCCAATCGCTACTCTATTATTCCTTGTTTCCATTCAATATTAAGATTGTTAAGACATCAATCTTACAGCATGAGGAGCATTGCTGTTAATAAGTCATGTTTGCAAAAAATATTTTGAGTGGGGTATAATTTTTCAAGCAAGCTATTTTTCTCCTATTTTATTGTAGCTAATTTCAAAAATTTTACTTTCAGGGAATTGACGGAGCAAAAGATAACCCCGGATTCTTTTACCGCTTTAATTTTTAAGGAACTGTCAAAATTAGAGGAAACCAAACCTGGAGCTGTTGCTCGTTGTTTGCAACCTCTCCTTCAGAAGTTCACCCCTCAGTCTCCTCCAAACCCTGATAAAAAGGTGAGCTAATGCCTTATCTTTTGTCTGGAAATAGGGCAGTTTTAAGATATTTTTGCAGGATAATAGTATAGTTTTTCTAAAGTAAAAGGACTATACACAGTATACCAAGAAATTTGGCGCCGGTTAAATTTCAATATTTTTTTATGATGTACATTATGGACTTGTGAGCACAATGAGCTTTTAAAATTGAACTTTTTACGTGCTAATCTTGAAAAAAGCAGGCTGAAAAGTGAATTTTGGCATTTTTACGTGCAATATCTAGCAGAGATGTTGCAGTAGGTATCTTATTGATGATCAAAGAAATCGTTTGTTTTCGTTTAGGCTGGGAAGATAATACTGAGGAAAGGAATCGAATTCATTCAAGAGATAAGAGCGTGCGGTGCAGTGTCCTTACACACATAGTAATGGTCTCACAATCTATTAAAAAACTTGTGTAAGAGGGCAGAAGAAGTCTTTCTTCAGCCTTTCAAGCCTCAAGTTCGACGTTAAGAGAGTTTGATTTTAAAAATTCATGTCCTAGGTCGTATGGAACATCATAACAAATGAGATCAATTTTTAACAAGAGCCAAATAACTTGGTATTTCCTGGGTAGTTAATGTATAAATAATTTGTTTGATTCAAACTTTTTTTAATCAGTTTGAAAATAAAATTGGTTTGCTCCGAAAAATAATTTTGAATTTTAAAAATAACTCTAGATCCTTCCTGAGCGTATTTCAACCAATTTTGAATTTTTAAACTCAATTGACCGTGTTTTTTATATTTTCCAGATTAAAATGTGTAGCGTAGAAGTAAATAGTCCCACAGGAGGTGCAGACAATGTTCTTAAATTCACCGCAGGTCTAATAATGGGTGTGCCCTTAGACGCTGACCTTTACAATGTTCCAACACCTAACTTTTTGCGCCTGCGTTTGAAATATCCTGACCAACAAACTCACCTCATTGTTCCTAGACCATCTCATTTAAGGCCAGTACCTGGTAAGTAACAGATGTTCCAAATGGTGAAACTCGCTTGAGTTACCTCGAAGTAACAAACTTCAATGGCTCTACTAGTGTTGTGTGGCACTTGCATTATGAGACTGAGTCTTTTAAGACGATCAATATTATTTGTTTTTCATCAGCTCATGAAAAGAATTTGCTCTCGCCCAGAGGCTATAATCTCTGGCAGTATTGTATTGGAAGAAAAGTAGTTGTAATTAAATGGCTTTCATAATAGTCAGCCGAACCTTATTTTACATCGTCTGATCTTCAATTATGTTTTATTTTTTTTATTTAAAGCTGAGAAACATTTTGTCTTCAAATTTAGTAAGCGGATTCTTGATAGTCCACAAGATGTTGAGTTTTTAGGCCAAAAAATAAAATCAATCGGAAATCTGGTCGTGTAATATAAAGTTAGATCGATTTTTGTCGAAGTCGCCCTAATAGAGCATTCAAGTAATGAAGAGCCATGTATTTCTTTGTTTCATCTTTCAAAAGTTAAGCTGGAACATAAGCGTAACTTATTGCTAGCAAGTGCAGCGACTGATTTCTCTATTTCTATCTCTTATTTTATTTATTCTGCTGAAAATTAGGGCACAGCCCGTTCAGTTCAACATTAAATTATTTCTCGCAGGAAAATAATTCTTCAGGAGAAAGGACCTCGGCTCAATAGGTGAAATTTGGGGCTTACAGCTATTATTTTTGTTATCTTGTAAGAAACATTCTCTTTAAATTTAAAGGAATGGTGTTCAGCAGTTTTACTTCGGAACACTCCTTAATCAGCAGTAATGAATGTATTTATTAATTTTTTTCAGATGACGAAGGCTCTTATCGCTTAGTAACCACAGCTTTAGTATCTCATCAAGTCTGGACAGAAGCCAGTGCGGTGGAACTAAGTGTTGTTTTAGACTTATCTGAAAAGGACTCTGTCTTGGGTCCTGTTTGTATAATTGATTTGTGCAAGCCAATCAAACTCTATGTTTCTCCAAAACCAGTGAAAAGAGGAATTTAAATTATCATAATTTTTGTCAATACCAGTACTTCAGGTATGATCTATTGTTTTTTCCCCTTCACTATTTTTAATTTTAAAATTACTATCAAAGGAATAAGAAATGTGATTCTTAAGTTCCTTGCGTTTTCATTCCTGTTTGTCTTTGTAATTTCATACTGTTGTGAAATCTTCTATTTCCTAGGTTCAAGTTTTTCAAAGTTAAGAACGCACCAAAATATCCTGTTTTGCTGAGGAAGAACAATGCATGAACATTCAGCTGTTGCTGTTCATTTTAAGAAGTGTTATGAACATTTTCTCTCGAAATTTTCAGATGATTTGGATCTGATCGCGAATAAAATTTTCTGAAAAATTGGAAGGAAAATATGTATTCTCAAATTTCCCTGAAAATTAATATTTTATCCAAGGAATGTTGGCTGAGTCTGAAGGCTTATACGGTGTTCCTCCTTAGCACTGCAGTTAGTGTTTTTCTTTTATCTCGAGACATTTTTTACATCTTTTGAAATGACCAAGATTTTTTGTAGTATTTTGAAACCTATGGTAACTCGAAATGTCATGATCAGATTCATATTGCAAGAAAATATTTTTTTGTTTCATTTTCATATTGAGAGAACAGATTCAACTTAATTATGAGGAGGAAAAAATCAATGATTTAAGAAATAATCAAAAGTGTTTTAGATCAAAAGTTGGTATTTTATTTTAAGACATATCGCAATAAAAAGGTAATAGGAAATCAGGGTATAGCAGAAATTAACGCAATGGTACTTATCAGGTATAATTATCACTTGAAGTAATCACAACAAAATCGAGATAAAACAAATTAAGAAAATATTTTACAAATATTTACAAAGAATGTAAGCGCATAACAAATGACATCATGAGGAACTTAAAATAGATGAATAGAAAAGGTTCATATTGATCAACTGGGATTTGTTGATTTGAAAAAACCGAGGTAAATCCAAAACACAATACCAAACACGAACACACCAATTATGAGCAGCAGAAGTAACTTTTTCTGAAACAAAAGATCATTCCACCTTGATTAGATTTCAAAGACAATTTTGACTTCATTTTGCAATTAAAAACTATAATTTCTGGCTCATCCTTAAAAACTTTAATGTGCAAAGGGGAACTTATTGTACATACGGTGTTTCTAAATTGAGCCAGAAATTGTAGTTCCTAATTGCAAAATGTAGTCCATTTGACAGAAAAAACCCTGCACACCAGTGGTGGCCTCCTGGCTCTCGGTACATTTTGCTGGAACTTGAAAATGTTATTATTAAGTTCATCATTAGGCTAAAGCCCAGCTTTTTGACTCTGCATTTTTCAAGTTCACGACCAAAAATTGTTAAGGAAGAAGAATTAAAGAAGAAAAAACAAAAACTCACAAATCTTGCTTTCTCCTTGTATACTATCGCCTTTTTCGTTTGAACTCTTGCGGTTTCTACTGCCTCTGCTGCTCCCAAAACGTGATGTTCTATACTATTTATAATGTCACCCTAATAGAAAATAAAAATTTAAATCAAATTTCAAAGTAGAGAAACAACTTTCAAACCAACACTATCAAATAAAATTAAAAAAGAAAAGAGGTAAAGAATAAATTAAAAAATCTTTTTGATGATTGCAGGGATTCTTTCTTTGTGCTTGACTACTGATTTTCATATCATGCACTTCTATTTCAGGTCTCAGCCAAAGATTTGTCCACGTCATGAAATAGTTTATAAATCAATAATTATGTGATTATTTGTAACAAAGAATTCTATTTTTCCCAAATCAGGGAAAATGATTAGGTCAAGCACTCCCAGCATCATATTTAAAGGTATAGAAAATGTGCCTATTTTGGTGGCAAGATATATTTTTTCTTCGGGAGGGATCATCAAAAAAGCGACAGAGCAAGCACTCATTTTCATCTCTTGCACCAATGAATGTATTTTGTTTGCACTGTCTCAGTATTTTCATGAACAAAAGCATACGAATTTGTATTTTAGTGTCTCGTCTCACAAGTATAAAGAAGAATAATTGAAACTTTCAGGTAAATTCATGTGATGATGACTCTTCTATAAAAAAGTAAAATGCCAACAAAGTAATACTAAAACAGCCCAGACAAAATATGTTTTTTTGCGCAGGAGACGACAACATGCTCTTAATTCGGAGAACTGTAGCGCTAAGAAAACAAATGTAATGGGGATGGCAACTACGAACGGTTTCACTTTTCAGTAACTGTCAATTTTTTTTGTTGCTGCCTTTTGCCTTAAATTTTTTCAGTGGTTTTTACATTTCAAAAAAGAAAGAAAAAAAAAAACACTGAACAAGATTTCTGTTAAAAGTAATACATTTTTTGAACTCACCTGTTGTTCAACGAGTAAAGCCATTTCTACAAATAAGTCTCGTAACTCTTGGATAGACTTCTCCAGTTTTAACAATTCTTCATGTCTAATTTGAACATCTTCTAGAGCACGCCTTGCCTCTAGCGTCTCGGTAATTATCTGAATGTAAGATGAAGAAAACAATTTTATCAAAAATACTTATTTTGCCAAGACCAATGTATAAAAATGTTCCATTCAATACTGTCAACCAGCAATTGACTGTCTTCCAATCATGTGTATTAATTGCTCAGTCATAATAATCTAGGTTTTATGAGAAAATTATTGCACAAGAACTTTTCTTGTGAACATTTGAAAGGATTGAACTGAAATCTGCGTAACCTCATTTAATTTTGCCTGATTCTCTCTTAACTTTTATTTTTTTAAGATAGAACCAAACAACATAGCGCCTTGAAACTTTCATATAACTTGGCATGTAAAGAGTATATTTACAACATTCCATTACAAAGGTTTGATTATTTTCTTATTGAAAAAAATAAAACATGAAAGGCAATTAGGCAACGCCTGATGAAGTTAAGCTGTTTTTCTCCAATTGAGAACTGGTATTCAAACCTTTTTCCCTTCCCCAGGTCAACACCTCTCACTCCTGTTAGTCAAGAATGTTTTTGCGGAAGTAGGTGAGGTTGTGAGAATAATTTAAGCCTCTTGGGCAATTTTTAAATTGAAAATGTCCGTTGTCACTACTTACATCACCATTAAAAATTGAGCCATAGTTTCCTTTCTCAAGAAGCTCCTCCAACTTTTCGTCTGAGATCTCTGCTTTAGCTGGAAAATAACAAAGAAATACTATTTTTTGAGTTCATTCTTAAAAAACTGTCATCATTTTTATATTAGATTTATCCACGCTCTGGAGGAATTTTCTTTTCAATGGCTGTTGATATCTATTTTTGTTTCACTAACGATCAGCTTTTAAAGTTTCCATCAATGGAACGTGGTATAAAAGATGATTGTTTGCAAAAAATTACTTCATGAAAGTTGAAAATCAATTCCTGAAAAGAGACAAAAAAAACCATGTCATATTCCAGCCTAACCTGGGTGTTTCTGCTTTTGAGAACATACGTGCGTTGTTATATGTGTTACTTTTGATTTCACATTTTACTTACAGCCTCAGGAGAAAGAACCCTATTTTCACACATTCCACTCTATTACATGGTAGATAAAACATATCTTTTTAGAATAAATTTTATCATGATGCTGAATTAGCAGTTTGTCCAATGGTCCAATCCTCATATTTTTGTTACATGAATGTATGCAAAGTCACAAATTGAAATTATCTCTGAAGATAATTGTATTATTTTCCAGTTAATTCACCATTAATCTTTGAAAGGGCTAAACATTAAACCAACTCCTCTACTTCTGTCATAGTGAAATCACCTTAGATAACAAAAATGTGAAAATAATAGAACAAGAAAATACCTATTGAAACGACTCGTTGGATCCGCTCCTCACATTTTTCCTTATAATCCACCTGCTCAGCATTGAAGTCCGTAATTGCTTTGACAAACAGGTGTAAAGTTGTCGCATGCTGTGTCTTTCGAATTCTCAGCCCTGCAGGGATTCTTGAACCGGGCTCCAAGTCCTCTTCCTCTTGTCGTATCCCTCGCTCTAGCTCTGGCAACAAAATCCTACTTCACTTTAGTACAGTTGGACGTAGACATGCTAAAAATAACCATGTGCATTGGGTTTGTGTATGACATAGTTCCTTTTAGCATACCTAAGTACGTCCACTTACGTTTCAAATATTGATGGTAAAATGACAGAAATGCGTCTCTCGGTTTGTGATGTTTCAGACTTCCTGTGAAACTTTTTTTACATTGAGAGCTACTAAACTTCACTTTTCTGTATGAAAAATATTTTGTGAACAATTCAAGCTATAATATTAGTTGAGTATCTTCTTTTGAAAAATGAAAGAGGAGCGGAGATTTTTAGATACTGCTACTGAGATATGCATTTTTGTAGTTTCACCATCATTACATACCTTTTCATGGAATTTTTGAGAATATTTCTGATAGCTTAAGAAATATCAAGTAAAATTTAATGGATTAAAAATCACTGTTTCTCCTGCATTACATAAAAAGGTGTAAGGAACGAAGTAGCTTTAAAAACTGAAATAGGTACACCTTTGTTAGAAACTATTCCAGAGTTTTGCTACAATGTACATATATTTCTCGAGTAGTAACGAGACCATGTTGCATCTTAATTAATCTTTTCCCTATGGATGCATGGCTAAAGTTGAAAAATGTGTATCTCCAAGTGAGTCATTACAAATCTTTGCTGATGGTTTTTTTTCTTTTTGACAAGAAAATTAATGGACAGTTTCTCTTAAAATGTTTAGTGCTTCTTCAGTCATCTTACTTAAAACATTCACAGAAAATTTAAAGAAATAATCACTTAATTTTTTTTTTTTTTTTTTTTTTTTTAAAATAAAACTGAAACTTAACCAGAGATTTTTAAACATTGCAATGGAGATGCATATTTTTCAACTATAGCTTTTGATATAACCGTATGAACTGCAATTTTGGTACCTGCACGAACAGATGAAAAGGATAGACTTTTCTGAATTAAACAAAGGTCTACTGACATCTATAATTACGTACTTAGAATCTTTCATGACACTTACGTTTTAAACGATGCTGCACTTTTTTGGCTATGTGTTTGACTGTTTCTGTGCGAGCATCAAGTTCCAATTTAAGTCCTGAAAAAGCAAAGAAAAGAAAATAAAGCTTGGAAGTAGCTAAGTTTTCGAAAAAAAGTTCGAATGTCCGTACGGAAGATATTTTTCGGCCATTTCGATGGAGGTGTACAAAGATGCAAAGTGAAGTGTCACGGAATTTTATTTCATTCCCCATGAAATTTCAATAATTTTTCAGGGGCTGCGTATCGATGGCCAGAGTGTGAAACCACGTATCTCCATTTGCGGCGTTTTAGACTTCCAGTCCTAGTTTATTTTTTCATTGGAAAACAAGTTGACATATTTTCTTGAAAATTCTCTTCTTTTTTCTCCTCTGTTGGCAAACTTAGTATTCTGTAAAAATTTCAAACTAAAAAGTCAACTTGTTTCTCAAGGAAAAAATTAAACAGGAGCGGAAATTTTAAAACATCGCAATGGAGTCACGTGCGTACGCAGTTTGGACATCGGTATGCAACCTATCAAAAATTATTCAAGATCTCCCATTAAAAAACTTCAAGATTCCACTGACATTTTTCTTTTTCCGAATTGAGATTTAATTAGTCGGATTTTATGGAGCGGAAATTTTGAAACATCCCAATGGAGTTACGTGGTTTCGTAATTTGGCCATTGGTTTGCAACCCCCAAAAATTATACGAGATCTCGTGAAAAAACTTCGAAATTCCACTGTTATTTTTTTCTTTTTCTGAATTAAGATTTTATTATTTCCACACGCTTAGTGACATTTTAAGTCCATCGTAGAAGTTACAAACGATTCCTTAAAATTTCATGAAATTCTTGGTATTTTGAAATTTTATTCGTTAAAATTTCATGAAATTTCGCATCTTTGGAAGTGTGGGCAGGCGTCACTATTTCGGCGGTGCGAAAACGACGGGCACGGGCGTATAGACACCGCTCATTTTCTCTCTCTCCTCTGGCGTAAAGGACTATCTCTGTTTCCACATGAGCCTCAGAAAGAATGGATTCATACGTAAAACATGGTTCAAGTGGAAATTAAGATACGCCCTCACGTCAGAGGAGCGATGACATGAGGTCTGGAGGAAGGGGGGGGGGTGGTTTGACTATTTCGTCACGCACACGACATGAGGAGTACGAGGAGCGTTATCGCGTTATCCACCACCACGGCGACCACGCACACAGGTGGACGCGCGTTACAGCTGTGAGTGTGAGCGGCATGCATTAACACTCATGTGTCAGTGCGCGACGCGACGCTTGTTCGTCAAAAGTTGCCACCGGTTTGCGCATGTAAAACGTCACGATTGTGTCGAGTTTTACTCGCTCCCGCTGTCTACGCTAGGATCCTTCTAATCATAATTTTTGTGTCGAAAAAGTCGGATTTTCGGGTTCTGAATACGAATTTCTGAACAATTTGGCGAGGCAATTGGATAAAACTGGACAAAATTGGACAAAAGTCACTTCAACCTGAATGCTTCAATCATCAGTCAGCCCATTGGATATGCCGGCATCACACGCTGAACTTGGCAGCTGAATATGGAACTCAACAGTCATGGCTCAACGGCTGAAATTTTGCGATTTCGAGTTATTTTCATCCAGATTTGTATCAGATCTATTCGAATAGTTCAGACAAATCCGACATTATCCGATGGTCGTTGAGAATCGTTGCTGAATTTTGCGCGACACGTGACATTCAGTCGCACTCAGCACAAGCCGCATTCAGCTCCCACATTCAGTGTGTGATTCCGGCATTAGCAGATACATTTCTGTTGAATGGTGCCATTTTCTGATGTGACTTTTGTCTTATCTTTGCTTTCTCTTATTCTAAAATGAGGCAGAAATAGTAGCTCCTAATTGCAAAATTCAGTCCAATCGAACAGCTTCAACAGAAGTCCTCGGTGAATTTTTTCTTCAAAGGGCTTTTCACCTTTCATACGTGATGTCAGATATCGACGGTGAAACTACCAAACCACGTATCTCGTTTGCGGTGTTAAAAAATCTACGCTCACATTTTATTTTTTTGAAGTAGACCAAATCAATATCATTCCTTGAAATTTTCATGGAATTTTCCCCGCACAAAGCGGAAAAATCACAGAAATTTTCGAGACTGGATGTTAAGTAGTTTTTCATCTATAAATAAAGTATGACAGGAAGTCTGCGACGTCGCAAACCGAGATACGTGGTTTGGTAGTTTCACCGTCGATATTTAGGCGAGGGTGGTTAGGACTACCCGATAGACGCCTCTAAAGGAGGGTTGGAGGGGGCTTTGGGTCCAACATGGGGAAGGAGGGTGGCGGGGGTAAAATAAGGGGCACAGACTTAAAAAGTATTGAATTTTTCTGAAATGGAGGTACTTAATTACTCGAGAAAGTACTGTAAAATTATTGCCTTTTTTCATGCCTTTTTTCGCAGAAACCCTGCTATTTTCATACCCTATGTCACCGAGCTTGATGCAAAAAGTTTCCCGAAAAAACATGGATTTTTCCCGGGGGAAAATGGAAGGCTGAAAAGGGTGCTGTAAACGGATACGCACTTTCATCTTGCCTGGGCGAGGATAGTAGTTGACTGTGAAGCGAGCGCATTATTTTGACGTGCTCCTCCATATTCCTTATCAGCGACCGTGATTCTTCCACCTGCAATCAAAAAACACTCAATTTAGCCCGTCATCCTCCGTAGATAAGATTTTCTCCGTGTTTCAACCTCAGATCTTACGTCAAAATTACTTGTGTAAACAGTTTACCCGCCTCTCGTTTTCATTCGCTCACGAACGCGATCCTAAACGAGCCGGTCAATGCTAAAAAATGTTCCATAAATCATGAAAAAATTACTCGTTTCGTCGTTTCCTTGACAAAGGAATGTAACTCCATTCCAAAGCTGCGAAGTTGACTCACACAATTAGATTTTTTACAAGAATGTACCTGTGCAACTTTCGTTTAAAATTTTTCGTAATTTTGCATGAGACCAGAAGAAAAATCAGTAAACTTTTCAGTTGGAAATGCCCATGACTCTCACATGATTTTCATGGTAAAAATGCAATTTGCGGGGGAAATTTGGCAACATTCGAATGTAGTCACGTTTTTCGTTGAAGGAAACGACGATTTAAGGTTCTTGGAGGACAAGGCGCATAAGTGCAGTTTTTGAAAAGATTGAGATTTTAATTAACTCAACTAAAGGTGGTTTTATAATAAATCTTGTGAATAATTCACTCCCAAATTCCAATTTTTAAGCATCAAAAAGAGAGTTCATCAGATAAACGTTGGCCAGGCCATTTGGATCGATTTTAATAGAAATGAATCGATCCTATTGAGAGCCGATTAAGTAAAGTTTTTAATGTGAATTCAGACTAATTTCGGTTCAATCCTATCGAGATTTCCAGGAAAATAGGTGAAAAACTTTAAAATACGCAAGAGTACAGCCTAGAAGATATTTTGAGGGCGGATCGGGCCGTCAAAAAATATCACATTATCTAAATTTTTGGAATTTATTGATTTTTGTTAAATGAATAAATACAAAAGTAAATAGATGGATAGATAAATAAATAAATAAATAAAAAACCAAAAACAAAACATTGAATTTGTGGGCGCACCCCCGAGTGACATAACTTCCCTCAAAGAAACTTCAAAGCATCGTATACGCGGACCAGGTATGTGTTGGTTGTGCCATGTGCCCACACCTCTTCCACACTGTCAGAATTACAGACGCCAGGTCCTCGCATCGTACAGTTGAATAGATCATTAAACAGGTATCACCGAAGTGATCGATAAAAAGTCTCAAACTAGGTGGATTTACTCTCAAGGAGAGTGCCAAGGATGAGATAGGAAGTGAAATGAGACCGAGTGTCGCGGTCGAGAAATCAAGCCACCTCGATACAGAGTCATTTAGATCCTTGATCAGTCAAAATCTTGTCATCAGACACAGCCAGGCAATATATTTAGACGCATTTATGCTAAAAGGAACTATGTGCACTGGGTTTGCATGCAACATAGTTCCTTTTAGCATAAATACGTCCATTTTAGAGACACCGCACTGCTATGTTTCCCTATAATGTACTGACTAAAAGTTACTTTCGGAAGTCCTAGTTCCAATACGCCTACTGATGACATCTTGCAAGAGATGAAAAATTGGTTTAGCAATGGTACCCGAACTGGCAAAAACTCTACTTGCAAAGTGTTCATCCTGACATTCATCATTCAAATCATTTGGCGAAAAGTAGGTATAGCCATGACCTCCGAATGTAGCTTCTGTCTTACTCGATTACATTCCCCAGATTCCTTGTCTGGAACTCTAAAATATATTGTCTCTGATTATACGCTTGTTTCAACATATTTAGGCATTTTTTTGTATCCTAAATGGTCTGTAAAATCACTCGGCTAGATAGTGGTGCCAATCGTCGTTTTCAAGACAAAGCAAAGAACAAAACTACATTTCAACGTCGCAAAGTTTCTCCTGAAGCAGGGCCGGATTCGGAGAGCGGCAAACTTTGCAATTTTTTTAAATTTAGGTATATAAAAAAAATCAGATTCAGAAAAAAATTAAAAACAAGAAAAAGTGACAAAATCTCTCATTTCCTGAGAGTACATTAATTTCTAATTTTGTCGTCTTTCGGTGATACAAAAGACTGCGCACCTTTAATTAGTTGAGTTAAGAGAGAAACCAAACACGTAATTTGGCCTGGAGCAAAGAGCAATGATGACGAGGACTTGAGATGAAAAGGAGAAGCCCTCGGCGCGGCGGTTGACATGTAGCACATATTAGCGCCTACAAGAGTGCATGAATACTTCACGCATTGCGTCAAACATAGTGCGGTCAACAGCTGTCGGCGTGAGACGCATCGCATAGCTCCTACAAGACTGCATGAATACTTCACGCATTGTGTCGAACTTAGTGCGGTCAGCGTGAAACGCGTAGCGCTTACAAGATTGTAGGAGTACTTCACGCATTGCGCCAAACACAGTGCAGTCAGCGCGGCGCGACGGCGGAAGTTAAAATTATTAAACCACATTTATGTTTGTTCTTTTCATAATTTTTCAGTTCACTTCTTACAAATGAAAGGCCTTGTCCACATAGAGATAGGTTTACGGAACTCGCAAAGTTCCGTGAACTTTTGCTAGTAGTGTTGACAGGGCTTACGCAAAAAATGTGTTCAACACGAGTGAACGCGTCTCATGCACCCTTCTCCCTCCGGCACGTTCACTTGATGGTTTTTATTGATATTTCAAAACGAAAAAGAAGGGGGCGGCAAAATACAGGCGGCCCATGGGCGGCAAGTAGGTAAATCCGGCCCTGTCCTGAAGCAAAATTTATTTTTATCAGGAAAGTATTGGGCATTTCTGACTGTTTTTTCCTCTAATACTCGCAGTCATACTGTTGTAAAAATGGAAATGTCTCAGTCGATTTTACAAGCCTGACGTAGAGCTCCGTTTCTTCGTCTACGGGAAGACACAATATCTGAATTTGAAATTTGCGGCATTAAGGTCGCCCTTTTTCCTGAGATGATTACACATTTGTGGATTCCGTTCATCAGTAATTGATGATGTTAAAATGGTGATAATGGCCGAAGTCTTGGAATACATCGGAAGAAAAGAACATTATGTCCTCCAAGTCAGAAAAAAATCTCATGTGGGTACGTCAAAATGAAATCTAGCAAAAAAAAAAAAAAAATTGAATTCAATTTCAACGGGTAAGCAAAAATTGACCTCCTGTTTGCCGAAAAAACAGCATTCCCGAAGTAAAGTTGCATTTTTCTTGTTGATAAACTGAAATGGACCACTAGACAAGGTACGAATTCAAGCATTCTGATACATGTATATTAACCAAAATTTCACGTAGAACACGATTCGCGCAACGAAAATTACTGATACCAACTCCTAACGAAGCTATTAACATTTTTATTTCACATTGGTTACGAGGAATTTGAACTGCCCGCTCTCAAGAAACTCAAAGCTCTACGTGAGTCAAATCGCGCACTACAACGGTTTCAGCAATCTTTTCAATCGAGCAATGTTCATTTCCCACCATGTGTTTTTCAAACTATAAGTAATTTGCTACTGCTGAGCCAAAGCAGTGTCAAGTTTGAGGTTGCCCGATGTTTTCATCGCAGATATGTTCATGATAACGTTTGCGAGCGATGTGAATCAAGTAGAGCATTGAGTTTTCATGAGCGGGTGGTTTGAATTCACGCACCAAGAATCGTTAATATCTTTGGAAGGAGTTGATTTCGGTAATATTCGTTGTGCGAATCGTGTTTTACGTGAAATTTTGGTGAAGATACATGTATCAGAATGCTGAAATTCGTACCTTGTCTAGTTGTCCATTGTGACCGCTCACGGAAAAACACGTACCTCGGTCAACAAAAAACTCCAAAATGAACGATTGGCACCAGAGCACTCTGAGGAGTGTGGAGGAATCTACCAACATTTTAAGATAAAGGATTTGAATGCATCTATTCGTACTTAAGGGACGTCCGTGCTGCATACACTCCAGATTGCAGGCGCGTTGGTTATCTCGATCGCAACTATTGAATACAACTATTCGTGCCTAAGGAATGTCCGTTTTGCATGCACTAGAGATTGCAGGCGCTCTGCGTTCCCTTAATCACAAACCTGACTTTGATTTATCGTGCTCAAAAGATATTTGCGATTGATAATATAATTAAATCGTGTCGTGCGAAAACCGCTAATGTTCATTTTTCCAGCTTTCAGTTATTTTGTGTAAATAATACTTTTTAAGAGTTGATACAACCAGGAAAGTGATGCAAGGACTCGCTTTGGGATTAAGATAACTTTAAAACTAGTATTAACGCCACTTTCGGGGTAGCATCACTCTGAAAAATAGTATCAACTCTAAAAAACTCCAGACTGGAAAAATGGACATCAGCGGTTTCCGCATGTCACGATTCAATTTAAATCACGTTGCCTGTGAAGCAAACCTTAAAATCTGCGAGCAATTTTAGTAAAGTCTACTTTTATCACTTTATTAACACCGGACTGTGATACTGAGGTTTTAGTTTTCGCTGTTCTTTGAAATTTATTTTTAAATTAATCAAATTGAAAATGGGAGCTCTTAGCATCCCGAAACACCAGAAATATTCTGAAATTAGCTCTCTGAATATTTTAGCATTCACGGAAAAAAACAATATAGTGCTGAGCACTAACTTTTTAGATCAAATGGAGCCAGCTGATATGGCAGTACTGCTGAGACCTACAGTCTGTATAGCTGGACCCTAATGTTGAACGGGTCAGCACTACTGAAATACTAGCTGGCGGCTCTATTTGATCTAAACAGTTAGTGCTCAGCCAAGTAGGCAAATTTTCATGAAAAATAAAATCTTGAAATTTTACGTGTAATAGGTATTTCATGAAATTTCAGAAATTTATGAAAGATATTGAAAAGCACCGGTTCCTTTTCGTGTTTCGCAAAATTTAAAAATTGAGACTTTCTTCTACGTTTGCGTGTGTAAGTGCGGGTTGCATACTCTAGCCCCAAAAAATAAAAAAATATTTCTCAGCCTCGTGGAATTTCATGAAATATTTCACTGAAATTTCCATTTTTTTATTTCTTTTTTTCGTTTTATGCCACCCTGTGCTCAGCATTTTATAGTTTTTTCCGTGTTGGTTACCCATTTGTGTGTGAG